AGCATCAACTCCTACAGTAGGTTAACTCCTTCTGTAGGTTAACCCCTACAGAAACAGAGGTTTGAGTTTAGAGAGATGACTGGCTTCATGTCTTCAAAAATTCAGAACTCGTTTGGCACTGGGGTCTAGCAGTCTAGACAATTCATTCTAAAAGAAACAAACCAAAAAACCCCTAAATGCTCTTAATGCCATTTTGGTGTGCCACAATGCCATCTTGTGAAAGAGAAGGGTGATATCTGACACTTGCCTCATCTGTGTAAACATTAGGCTTTGGAGTCCAAACTTGCATCTTGTCGAAACTTTGTGTATGACCAGTCTTCAAACAGAACCACAGTGTCCATGTACATGAACAGAGATGTCCTTGAAACACGCCTGAGTCCTCATCAGCCTCTGTGTGATCCAGGGTGAGTGTTGTTCTCTGCTGTTGTGTCTTAGTGAGAATTGTTGGTGTTAGAACTTAGTTGACTGGTACTGGTCTATTTAGTGTTAAATCTCTGTTTTCGTAGAGAGCGCTTTTTTTTCAAAAGATAACGAGATTTAGTTATTCAGGATTATGATTTGAAGGTTTCAGATCAGTTTTTAAAATTTGGTATGACTAGCTGCTGAAATTCGAAGACTAGCTGGAATCAAGTTTTGAAAACCACAAATTCAAAGCAAGTGTAATACATATTTTATTGTAAACGCAGTGTTCAAATGGGACAAAGTACAACAGAGGAGCTCTTGTTTATTAGCTCAATTTGTTTTATGCTTTACGTTCTCATACAAGTGATGTCTGGGGACCATTATGGCCTGTAGGGACTTTCCCTTATCGCAGTTTAAGGTTCTCATTTATGGGACAACTGGCAAAAGGCAAATAATGGGTGCACTCAATCAGAATGCTTTGTGGATGCTAAAATGTGTTTTCAGGGAACAACTGACAGGAGGTTACCTGACTCAACTTATCAATTTGTCTGAACAGTTGAACTGGTTGTCTTTCTTTAAAGAAATGAAGAAAAATCAGTAAGGTTATAGCAACTTACAGTTCAGTGTCTGCTTAAACCCTGCCAATCTTGTATTGCACATTTTTTTAGATTCTTGGTAAATTAAGTGCCTATAGTAAAGTTTGTTCCAGACTTAATTATTCAGCTAGACCCTTGCGCTGGGAATACCTGTTACCCAGTGCCTAAAGCTGTTGTATAGGAGTGCTCCATGTTGTACTTGCTATCCCAGCCTAGGGAGAAACCCCATGAAAGCTCGTACAAGAAAGCCTTAAGGGCCATACATTTACGTATTCATGCAGCTGATTACACATCTACCGCTGTAATGCTAGAACTGAAATTCCAACACCTGTGAAAGATAGCTTGTCACTACTCAGAGGGAAACAGAGGCCTGTGTTGCAGTGGAAACTCAGGCCAGTTAAGTAACGGGCTCACTTAGTGCTTAGAGTGATATTCTTTTATCTGTTGATTTTTCAAGCTGAGTGTTGTACTCTGGAAGGTGATAAAACTGAGCAAGAAATGCACTAACTTGTATTTTGTATTTGCAGGTTAGTGAAACGCCTGGAGTTTGGAACACGGCCTTCAAATATTCCAGGACCAATGGGCCATCCCTCGCAAAGTGTTGTTAAGATGCTGCTGTGAAAACCCTGGCTGGCTTTGGAAAAGGAAAAAAGATACTATTTTTTAAAGCTTAGTTTTAACGAGAACATCCATGAGCAATCAGGCAGTGGTCTTGGGGTAGGTGAGAACTGAACAAGAAGCTGCAACTGGCAGTGGCCTCCTGTGGCCTTGCCCAGCCTGGCCTCTGGACTAAGTTCTATGGGTAGTGTGATAAAGCAATGTTGCCTAGCAGTGCAGGACTTAGAATTGCTTCCTACATCAGTTGCTGTAAATAGCTCCTTGAAAGTTGCTTCCTTTGACGCTGCCAGTCAAAGCCATTGTCCCTCTACCTACAACAGAGCCAATATTCCCTATGCAGCTCTCAGGCTTTGGCTTTTGGCGTGAATACAGCGCCATGGTGTTTCTGGCTTAAATTCTGGTTGTGCTGGCATTCTATCATGGGTCTTGTGTGCTGCAGCCACCCGAATTAGAGGGGTATTTTTATGTGTAGAAGGGTGTATTTCTGCAGGGAAGTTGCTCAGCTCTTTGTGGGATGTTTGCTGGTCAGAATCTTGCTACATAAAAATCTGTCTCTATAGTTGTAAGGTGGTTTTGTAAGCGATGATTTGCCATTAAGACCAGGTCACGGTGAAAGGTGAGGAATGCCAAGTGCTTAGAGTACTCAGGAGATCCCAGAGCTAACAGCAAGGTAGGAGGCTTTGGACTGGCTTAGCATATAGACATCTCTTTTTGCCATGTTGTGGCCCATAAAGCCTGGCTATTGTAGGAAGAAAGAGACCTGATTAGGTTTCTCATTCTAACATTATAATAGGTGGGTTTTACTGCTTTCCAAACATCTGTTTATTAATGTGCCTTGGGTATTAGTGATTTTTTTCTTGTTTATTTTTTCTGTGAGAATATACGCTTTCACCTGTTACTAATCTAGAAAAGTTTTTTTTAACCTGAAAAGTCCTTTATGCCAGACAAGTGTATCTGAGTAGAGGATTATTTTTAAATGTTTGTTCTCCTATAGAATATTACTGCATTTTGGTTTGTTTTTTAAATGGAATATGTTCACTCACAGTATTAATGTACCTTATGGAAGCCTGTACTTGCAAAAATAATCATGACTAAAGAATTTTTATGGTTTTTTGTGTGTGGGGTGGGTGGGGTAGGGGGAGCTTACTTGACAAAAGAATGCATAAATGGGTTTGGGGCTTTGTGGTTTTTTTGTTGTTGTTTTTTTTTTTTTTTTTTTTTTTTAAGAAAATGCTGTGTAAACAGCCACTGATGCATCTATTTCTCTGGAAAAGGAAATAACCACAGATCATTCCCATTATTCAGGCCATCTACAAAGCTGGCTTAACTGAGGAGTGGAATAAAGCTTATTTTGAATGCTAATTGTTGATTCATTTTGAGGTTTTTTGCAAGTTGTCACTGTGGTTTATGTGTAGATGTTTGCTACCAGTTTCTCATCTGTTTCTGATCAATGAAGCTGAAAGCGACACTGTGTTGCTGAATCATATGCAAAGATTTTTCTACATCTCTCTCTTCTCATGGTTTCCTACCCTAAGGAATGTAAACATTGCCCTAGCTAAAGATGCCTCTGGGATTTACAGTGCTTAGTGTTGACATTGCGCTCTCTTAAAATCTTGATCTATGGCTGTTTTAACGTGATTTTTGTCCTCTCCTCTCACACAGGGAGTTGAGACTATTTTCTTACCCATGAGGAGCAGAAGCGTGTGGGCTACTTTTTCAGTTGTGTTGACACGTGACCGATGGTTCAGTGGACTGTGTAGCCTGGAAGGATTAGTCAAGACAAGTTGCATTTTCCTTATCTTGACAGAATTTGCCTGCTTGGTGAGCTAGTTGGCTTGCAGTCAGATTGAGACAGCATTGAGACAAGGTAGTAAGTTGGAAAATCATGGCTGTACGAATATTATATATTTTACACATATATTATTAATGTGACTACAGATATAATCAGACAGACTGGGGTGAGTATGTTACTGAGAATTGTCAAAATAATTTAGTCCAGAACAATCATCTCTGTAATGGTGCAGAGAGGAACTTTAGTTTGGACACTGTTGCAGAAGGATGCTTTCTGCAGTGTTACTAAAGAAGCCGACTCCCTATTTTGTCACAAGCTTTGCACAACAGGGACTGGAACCTGAGTTTCTCAAGTGGTAGGGCAGCGCTCTAACCATCAGATCAACCTCTACCATTATGCATGTGAATCTTCTAGATGAATTATTTTTACAAGGGCTCTGTCTTCAGTTTGCTGGTTCTGCTCCAAGTGTTGGTGCTTAAGACCATTCTGTGTGAAGTCTGACGTCCTTGCTCTCGTTGTTCCCACACACGCAGGCTCACAAGCTGTGTGTTTAACAGCCAGCTTTTTGAGTATGTTTACAGAGCTGGGCTGTGTGGCTGATGAAGGTCTTATCCCATAGCTCCTAACCCCCCTCCTCTGCAGCTTGTCATCTTAATTGCCCTAAATGGATTCTTATTTAAACTCTTCCTTTACTTTTTAATGAGCAGAGAGGATTGTTTAGGCTGTGATTCAGCTGGCTAAATGGTGCCTGGTTTGAATCTCCAGTTCTTGATCTCTGTGCCTTCTGGAACAATGCTTAGCTTTAGATGATGATTGTATTGGTTATCAAGGTGGATGTTTTTGCATGACTTGCTCTCCTGGTAGTCACACTGCTTAAGGTTCACTTGCTGTGCAATCTAAGACATCGAGTAAGCTCTCTGTACTCGATATGGAATAATTCTACACCTGGCTTTGCTGTGCATGGTGCTCTACTGCCCCAGTGTGACCACAAAGCTAGCTACTCTCTGAAAGTACTAGAGCTGCAGGGATTTGTGGTAGGTCCTGGAGTGGGCTACAGTCATGTTGGAGTGCTCCAAAAATAAAAACTGTGTGTTGGTTCCTTAATGCAGAATGGCTTGGCTTGGATCACTGCATTCAGTGTGGGCTGCTGTTTCTAATTGTTTTCAGTCTGCTTTAGAAACTTTAGTTGGAAATATCTGTATGCATACAGACTTCAAGGGTGGGTTCAGTTGCCTAAAGACAGACACTTAGGGTCCTGCCTGCTTTCCAGCTGCTGCACCAGAATGCTGCAGGTCTCCTGTGGGTCCTGTGTCGTGTCTGTCAGCCCTTTTATACATTCTAGGGCACCTTAGTTAGCACTGTGTGTCCACGAGGTAACCAAACCTATCCCAAGTACTTCATGTCATTTTACATTCGGTTCAGTGTACATTTTTTTTTATTCCTTCAAAAGCTTAGGAGAAAATCAGGTTTTTGTTCTAATGATTACAGATGACCTTTTCTAAAAAGTATGAGTTGTAAAGCAGCTCTACTGCATCCCCTGTTAGCATGCTGTACTGCACACAAGTGACACTTGTACACAAGAATACTGAAGTAGTTTTTATAGCCTTTTATTAGTGTGTAAGCACATCCATGGTGCATATAAAACTGTAACAGTTGACTTAATTTGAACAAATGATACTTTATTTTTCAGTAAGTGATTAAAAAGGCACTTCCACCTTGTGAATGGTGCATCAGGGGTGTAGTAACCAGGAAAAAACCCTATATTAACCGAATACTCAAGACAAAATGAAAGTTTAAGAAAAGATTAACTGACCAATGCTTTCTTTTTTTTTTTTTTTCTTCCCCTGCAACAGTCTCTCAAATCCTGTGTAAACTATAGTTCACTGGGATTTAAATCAGCTGAACTACTAGAACCCACTTTCTGGAAGATTTTCAAAGCGTATTACTCTGAGTGTTAACCCCCCCTTGCAAATACACTTCATGGTAAAATAAGTTTTGGAGTACTCTATACATTGGAGACAAGGCAGTTGTGCTTTTATCATTGCCAGAGGAGTGGGTGTATGTGACCTTGACACTAAGAGTAGACTTATACAGTGCTAAATATTGTCCTCCCTCCACTTGCTGCAGTGCAATTTTTTAAAGCGTGTTTATTCACTGGCTTTTGTTCCATTGAAATCTCCATCTCTTGCATCCATTTCTTCATCAGCTCCATCTGTTGCATTCTCAATTACTCTTCTGCCTCCAGATCTACGCGGTGGGGCAAAAGATGCTGGCTCATTTCCCCTCCTGCAGTAAGAGAAAAAAATATTAAAAAATTCAGATGTTAGGTCATTTGCAGTCCTCACAAATAAGCATAGAGTTTTGTAACAGTACCTGTGGGGCTGACGTTTTTAAATGCACAACAGCCAAGAGCTGTGGGCCTCTTAAACAATTTTCTGTTCTGTAGCATGCACAAGTAATTTGTGGACAGGTTGAGGCTACCAGTTGCTTGGAACTGCAATGAGATTCCTGTTCTTGTGCTTAAAATTCTCCTCTAAATAGTCTCATCTGCCCCAAATACCCCCTACTCTTCCCTTCATTTCACCATTTTCCCCTATAGGGACTGCAACTGGTTGCGCTGGGAAGGAATGGGAAAGAGGGCTGCTTGTACCCACAACAGCAGGAGAGTGTCCTTCCTGTTCCTTTAGAAGAGCAAGGAGAGAGAGAGAACTTGTGCTGGATTTCTGACCTGCGGTCTGTATAAGTTACTGAAGGCCCGTGAGACCTGGCACTGGAGCAGTGCTGCGGAAGTCAGCAGGCATTTTTGGGCCCACACACAGTCCCTCTCTGCAAAGGCTGTTGGTCAGAGTGCCACAGGTGTTTTGACACGTATGGCATCCTAGGTTATGAGTAGCTCCAATCTCTTTCCCAATGGATAGAGGAAATCATTGCTGCTATGAAACTTGTAACTCGGGTGCTGACATTTCCCAGTGCAAGTGTCTTGCAGAAGAGCTTACAGAAAATGCTTTTTCCAATCTTACCCCCTTTTCTCTCCCATCTCCCTCCCATTCCCATATATTTCATAACCACAGCCCAAGGCAGGGACACTTTGGTCCTCAAGGTTCATTTTTTGGGGAGGTGTGAGCAAGTGAGACAGAAGATGGGTTTGTCTCTTCTTGGCCTCCATTGCTACTGTGCTACAAAACGCTTGAGTTTTGTAACATGGCCTCTCACTTGCCCCTCATTAAGCAAACCTTTGTAAAGGCTTGAGACCACAAACATGAGAAATAAATTAAATTAATGATCACTGAATATTGTGCCAAAATTACTAATTTGGTGTTAAATATATCTGACTCTGCACTTTTGGGTGCAGCAATCATGCATAAATATTTAAAGGCTTGTCTTGTCCTTGCAAAAGACTAAGCCGGTGTTGTCCTTTCTGAAGCAGCTATTTAAGTCCCAAGTTCAGTCTTCCATACAAGGGAAGTAGGTAGGAACATTGGCTGGACTAACTTATTTCAGAGGCAGAAATCTGTGTTTCCAAAGTGGAAATGTGACCTGTAGTCTGTTTTCCACAATTCTGCCCTTAAAATTCAGTGTAAGCAAGCAATTAGCTGGATAATAAAGCTTCATTTAAGATCTGCTGTTAGTTAACCTTAGTTGTTCTGGTGTTGGCAGCATTGTATTGAACACAAGGGTGTGTTATTTCTACCCTGGCATATTCTTGACAGAGTCTAACAGCAGTGTCTACTAGTATATGATAGCAGATACTTGTTATTACTGTTTAACAAGAAAATTCTAGTTGGGTCAGCAAATTTATTAATTCTTGTCAATAAAGGAAGAGCTCTTTACCCCTTTGGACTCCTGCTATGTGGACTCAATTCCTCATGAGTCGTTTGTAAGATAACTCCCTTTATGCTGCAGTAATTCACTGAAGTGCTATGAGAGAACATGGGACTGGTGGGAAGTAACAGCAGGAGTCTAACCAAATTATGTGGTGCAGTTTTGGCTACAAAGAAGTGAACTACATATCGCACACTGACCACTTATTAACATAAACGTTGCAGTATGCCTAAACTTAATACTTCTTTAAACTGGTATTGGCCCTGGGGATAAACACTTTTTGTTTACATCTGTTCCTGTTAAACAGGTTTATGGGATTGATAATATTCGTGTGGTCATTCGCATTAGTACCTTCAGAATAACGCATATAGTTGAGACAAGCCTTAAGCATTAGTGTTTGCTTGGAGTCTGTATTTAATCTACCTTTGAACAAGTGCTGCTGGAGTAGTTCTTGAATAACAGTCTGACTGGAAATATTAGGCTGACTAAAAGGCACATGCAAGGACAAGACATCATCTTTAAATATTTGTGTATTCACAGCCAAATCCAGCATATGTAAAATAGAAGGTATACAAATATTACAAGGCAGTAGCTCTTTAATTTTTGCAACAGCAGATATTATTCCTGTCTCCAAAGAATATGATAAAGTATAATATAATGCTGTGCTAGGTTACAGTGTCAATATTAATTTCTGTGTCCATGCTTTAATAACCGTAGACAAGCAATGTAATGTCTGCAGACTGGTTCTAAAAGCCTAAGTAATAGCCCTTTGTAAGCAATACAGGCACAGAGTGCTATGTAATGACAGGCAAGATTTTTCTCTTTTGTCTGTGACTGTGTGGTAAGTGTGATAAATCACATGCAAATAAGATCTTCCCAAATCTCAGGTGAGTTAGATGGGGTCTTAACCTTACAGTCAGCATTAAAATATGCACAAGAACTACTGTGAAATTCTAATGACATGCTGTGACACTTCATATTCATTAGTCCTTTTAATGAATTTTACTAATCAATGGTGGTTTTGATTTGAAAAATTTTAATCTTTGTGGCTGTGCACAAAGATAAGGTGAAAAAAAGACAATACAATTTTCATGCAAAAAAAAAAAGTCAGAGTACTTTATTTGGTACTCTGTTGGTAGAGCTTGTGAGAATGCAACATTGGTAAGTCTACATCAGTACATAACCTACTTGTAAGAAAGATGTATCACTGATGAACAGCTGATGGTAGCTAGATTATTGTAATATTTGTCTCTTTTGATACAACAGATTAATGCCAAGATATCCAAGCCTTCACAGTTTGCAGAAACCTCACATAATTTTTACTTGGGCCAAAGAAAATAGAAATTTGTGCAACACAAGCTAGCTGCAAAGTTGAAGGCATGGTACCTGCTTAGTCATGCGAAGGTTCCTGTGTCCCTCTGAAACAGAGATAAAGAGTCCCGGGCAGTTATACTAAGCACATGGTCATGATCAGAGGTAGGTAGATTACTTTTAAATAATTAAACAAAGTACATTACATTTAAATAAAACAAAAATGAGCCTTATGCTATTCTATGTAAAATGGGCTGGACACAGCCAGTCCTCTGTAAGGCAGCCAGGAGCGTGCACCACCCAAGATGGTGCTAATGAAAAAGGCTACCACATCCTTAACTTCACTTTGCAGTCAGTTCACATCTGAAGGTTCATGCATGTTACTGGTAAACACACTGGCAAACCGCTTCAAGAACACAACTAGGCAGGTGCTTTACTTTCATCTGAAATGCCGTTGGGTTTAGGTAGAAAGCAAAGTTTTATGGTGTGATAATGCAGGTAGAGCAATTCCCTTATGATTCAAGTCAGCCTCTTTATTTCAGTGAGCTGGTGTTTTCAAACCCAGTGAGTGCAGGGGAACTCACATACTGGGTATGTAGCTGACTGATCACAGCTTTATCTTTTTCCCCGGTCAGTTTTAACATGAAAATGCAAAGGGACACTTTGATCTTTTCCTTGATCTGATGGCACTGATTCCCTTTATGGCGAAGTCAAAAGAGACTTCATATAAGATAAGAGTCATATAATGTGATTTGCCTTTTGTGCCTGTGACGTTGTCTGAGACTGTTTATGGTTGTTGTGTGCAAGTTGTGTGTGTGTGTGAAAGTGTGAAAAGCACAAGCATTTCTACCATTTTGTGACTGCTTCTGTACAAATAGATACAGCTGCTATATAAGGGGTGTTTTGAAAAGTAACCAAGCCTAATTCTGTTCCTATTTAAGCCAACAGGAGGTTTTTTTAGGAAAAAAGTAAGGCCTGTGCCATGTTATCACAGCTGTTCATCTCACAGCTGAAATCCTGAGACTGTTGCAGTCTATGAAATGCACTCCACCTTCTGAATTTAGCCTTTTGTTGCATCTGCCAAGCTAATACAAGGAGTGAGTAACTTTGCAGCATTGTCACTGTCTGTTCTTTACTTGAACAGATTATTTTTTTTTTTGCTTCTCTAGTTTATTTCCAAATTTCAAGGCTGCCAATGAGTGGCAACAGCTATCCCAAACAAGGGCACTCTACCTGAGCTTGCTCTTCAGTGCTGCAACCTCACGGCCAAGGGCTTCGTTACTCTCAGTAGCCTCATCCAGCTCTCTCTGCAGCTTCCTGCGGTTTGCGTTGATACGCTGAGATTCTTCCTCAGCCTCCTCCAGCTGCCTTTTCAGTTGCTTGAGTCGTGTGTTGCCCTTCTCGGCCTAAAGGGAAATTTTAGAGTAATACTTTAATTCAAAACAGATCTAATAGCTTTACATTCCTCACTTTAGTTTCATACTTCTCTTGAGAGTTTTACTGAAACATGGCCTGAATCAAAGGTAGAAGCCTAAAATCTAAAAAAATGTGAAAATAACTGCTTTGTGGCAGTTTGTTTTGCTGATACTGTATTCAGACACTAGCTTGTTGTTTCTTTTGCTGCACCTCTGCTTTACTGGTTTGCAGGTTGGTGCGCATTAGGTAAAGCTAAAATTTTAAACCAAAAAGTGTTCATCATCTCCATTCATATACAATTAAGGATGTAGTGCATAGTCCTGTGCAGTTCTGACTGCCCTGTGCAGCTGGCTGATTGACAAGGACTAGTGCTTTGGCACTTGAATCGTCGTGGAAGAAGAATTATATTGTCCTGTCTTTTAGCAAAGGGCTGTATAGCTCTCCCAGCATAGAATCCAAGCAGACAATCTGCTTTCTAGAGAGATTTCTTTGAGGCAGAACACAGAATCTTCATTTCTTAGGGTAAGACCTGAAAATCTCTGTGCCCCAGAATAAGACCCTCATGACACAGTCTGATACCTGATCTTTGTACTGCTCCGCTTGCTTTCTCTCGTCCTCCACCTGCAGCAATGCATCCTTCAGCTTCTTGTCCTTCTGGCGCAATGTCTTGGCTGCAGCCTGCTTCTCTCTGCAAACGACAGTGCAACGTTTGGTGATGTGGAAGGTCTGTAGTCCAGGTGCCTCAGGCATGTCACTTATGAAACTGGCACCAAGGACCCATATGTTAAAGGCCTTACTGAATTTAACAGATCAATTCTAAGCAAAACTTAAAGGTACGTTCTTCTGATCAAAACAAATATGTGTCTTTGCTATATGCTAGAGGTGCTTCAGGAGATCTGTTCTGAAACATAAGGTGATTTCCTCAAGAAATCGCCTACAAAGTGCACAATGTGTTACGGCAATTAACCTGGCAGGGTCATAGGGAAGTTACTCTAAAATGGAGGGGAGCAGATCCTTGCCTTTGATACCAATAGAACTTTTCAGCAATAAAATGGTTCTTAATCAGGACCTGTAACAACTCCAGTTACTGGCACTATATCTAAGAAATGTTAAGTGAGGGAGAGACTTTACCAAGCCTTAATGGCACTGAGAACCTGATTATACAAATCCAGTATACCTTTGTTTACTTTCTGTCTCATTAACTGGAACAAAAAATACACAGCTGTGCCCTCTGGGAGACCAGTACCTGGCTTCCTGTTCCAGTTGCTCTTCCAGAGAAGCAATTTTGGCCTCCAGAGCAGCAATTGTAGTTTTGAATTTGGACTTCACAGCTCCCTCCATCTCCTGCAGCTTACTCTTCAGCTCTTTGTTCTGCCTCTCCAGTTGCTGCCGAGCGTTTTCGTTCTTCTGTGCAGTTGAGCGCTCTGTTGCCAGCTCATTGTTCAGCTGCTCTGCCTGCGAAGGTGAGAATGGATGCTGTCAAAAGTATTGTATGCTTTCAGAGAAATTACAGGCAGCAGTTTGGGGTGGCAGTTCTCCAAATATTTATTCAGAACCACAAATAACTTTCGCTGGCATACAAACAGAAAATGACAGGTGCTGAAATGAGCTCTACCTGCTGTACCGCTTTCCTCATGCGATCACCCATTGCCTCTATGTTGCTTTGCTCCTCTTCTAGCTCTTCCTCCAGTTGGGCAATTCTTGCCTCCAGGCGCCGTTTCTCGTCCTGAAGGCTTGTCCTGTAAGTTTAAAGGTGATAAGTGTGTAGTTATGGCTCTGACCAGTTGAATGTGTCTTAAACTATTTCGAACTGCCAATAAATCATAAAGAAAAGAGAAATTTCAATGAAACTGTTCATATGTGTGTATGTTGCGTTGTCAAGACCAGATGGCTGTTGGGAGAGGAACATAACTTCTCTTGGCAGCCATGCACTGTTCAGCAGCTTGTTTACAGCCTTGTGAGTAATCCAGTCTATTCCTACCTTCCAGAAGTAGCGCTTGCGAGTTCCTCTGCCATCTCTTCTTTCTCCAGATCCGCTTGTTTGCGAGCTCTTTCTGCGGCAGCCAGTTCCTAGGAGAAAAGGAAAAGGCAGCGTAGTAAAGAAATGAGAAAGTAAGTGTTCAAACAGTTATAGCATGATACACAGGGCTGTAAACTGTCCAAAACTGGTATAAGGTTGGTTGTCTTGTTATAACAGAATAAATTCTTGTCATATCATAAATCCTAGGCGAGTACAATGAAATACACTTTATCGAGTCTGTCAGCTGGTTTCTATTTTATTGGGTTTAGTCACAAGATTGCCATTGAATACACATAGGAATAATAGCACTAACAAGACTTCAGGAATTTATGGCTATTGAAAACAATTTGTGTTGGATCATACAGTTCACTTGCCTTTAAAGCTGGTGAACTGTGCCTTCCTCCAAGGTAATTTTTTTCAGCTTAATCTGGCTATGCTCAGATGTAGATCCAACAACTTTAGCGGAGGGCATGGAGCACGTGGAACTTGTTACAAGTGCTGCTTATAGTTTTCCATCCCTGCTAGCTATTATTTTATTTCATTGCAGTTCTGTTTTGCTACTGCAGGTCACATGTAGTCTGCTTCATACTGCTCTAAGTTTCCCACTTTACCTCTTGAAGCTGGATGAGTTCTGCTTCCAGGCCCTTTGCTTTCTTCTCATTTTCTCTGGCTGTAGCAAATATTTCTTCTCTGGCAGCCCGTGCATCGTCCAGCTCTCGTTGATAGTCCTTCATCTGAGCCTTGTTGAAAAGAACAAGAGAGTTTTATTTTTGTCTGGCTTTATTACAGTTTCAGTAGAAAGAAATTTGGACAGAATAGAACACATACACATTTACGTAGTCATAATGCCTGCTTAAATTATATTTTCTGGAGAGATCAGCTAACATATTGGAAAGGTCTGAAATGCTATTCCAAGAAGAACGATGCTTCCACTTGCACACCGCGGCTTTTGTAATGCCTATTGTCCTTATTTCCTCTGAATATTTGAGTACATGTACAGTCTTAATCTTTCTGATAATCCCTTTTTCTTGTTTAGCTGTCAGCATATGACAGAACAGTGGATATGGAGACTTACAGTATAAATAGGAAAATGTTAATTCAGAGACAACATGACTTCTGAACAGTCTTTTATGTTTTTGAGTCAAGCGTTAGAGCCAGGATGGAAGCTCTGTAATAGATTTTATCCTGTAGCCCTTTCTCCATGTGGGAATCTATGTTTTTCTTCATGTGGATAAGTCAATAGCAGATGAGTGCTGGCCAGAGAATTTTGCAAACTCTCTGCCATGATAAAATTTAAGATTTTTATGGTTTGCCACGTAGAGCTTTCCATTGTTATTCAAACTGAGCATTACAGTACAGATCCTTGAATCTGTGAGTCCAACTAAAACTCCCCTTCTAACCAATCATGTGTAACGAGCATAAAGTTCACAGGTGTCACTTTTCATATTGTGGCTGTACAAAAGACAGCAGTGGGAAAAACTGGATTTGTGGGCTTACATACCTGTAATTTGCGAAGTTGTTTGATGGCTTCTTCTCGAGCTTTATTAGCAGAATCAGCTTGGCTTTCTAGATCTTTAACATCCATTTCCAGCTTCTTTTTGGCTGCAGCTGCCAGGGCACGTTGCTTCCGCTCATCTTCCAGTTCTGTTTCATATTCATGGAGCTGATCATTAAAGAAAACAACTTAAGTTTAGGAAAGTCCTTTAGCTCTCAAACGCTCTGTGTGTATCTGAATAATGTATACAGCCCCCTGTATCTCTATTAATTGTGATTTCCCTGGCAGTTAAAATGCATTTCCATTTCATCCAAAAATTAAAGATTCTTGAAAGGAGTTAGCAATTTGGGTTCTGTATTCATGGAAATATATATATATATATGATGACTAGAGTAGTTGCCTTTGCTCTCACAACACTACTATATACAAACAGGCCGTGTCCTGTCTGTTTTCATTTCCAGTGCTTTTGTATCCATCCCGTGTACCTTGGGAAGGCAGATATATTAGAAGCTGTCTTTTTTCACTTGCACTGAGAATATAGGGAAGGTTCTTCTGACTGTGTCAGAAATAACAATTTGTATGTTTTGTACTGTATTGGTTGTAGTGTTAAATTGCTACATCTGTTGGCAATTGTGCACCTGCTACTAAGACAGGAAAAAGACTTATGTGGTTTTGTGCCTTTTCTAGTACAATAATATACTTTAAAAAATTATTAGTAGTATTATTATTATTTGCTAAGCACAAGGCAATATAATGTTTTCTTCTCATTATAGTACAGTGCTTTTAATAATGTCATGAGGCTGGGGACTTTCAACTGGCTTGGTTAGATATTTACAAAGGCAATAATAGGGAATAGTACCTGTTTAAGGAGTTGTCTTCTCTTCTCCTCATTCTGTTCATCTCTGGCTTGTAAATCTCTTTCAAACTGGCCTTTCAGGGCTTGCATGTTAACCTCCAACCTGAGTTTGGCATCTTCAGCAGCCTGTAGCTCATCCTCTAGCTCTTCTAATTGTGTCTTCATCTCTTCTACTTGCTGTTCAAGGGTCCGTTTAGATTTCTCCAATTCGTGGACCTTTCAAGCAATGAGAATTTAATAGAATTGTTATAAAAAATAAAAATAATTCTAGTTAAATACAGTCTACCTGCAGTATAGGCCACACTTGAAAATATCAGCTGTTGACAATGCATGAACTAATTTGCACTGAAAATGGTAAATTATAACTTTTTGTACACTTGCAAATCTGTGTTAAAATAACCTGAGATTCTCTTTATCCTGAACTTCCACTTTTAATTTAGTCAAGTATCATAATTGAATTTATTTAGTATTAGAAGTAGTATTATCATGTCACTGTAATGAAAGAAAAGAAGTGATTGGCAATGCGTCAGTGGAAATTTGCTGCAGCTATACAAGTAAATGTTAGGCTGGTGGCAAAGTCAATATAACTAATGAAATCAGATTTGTGGAGTTTACAACTTCAAAGCTGCTTAATAAACTAGTAAATTATTTAGAATCTTTTTAATGTTTTTTTCAGTCTTAGAAATCAATAAGAATCTTCATGCTTGAAGTCATGTTAAAAATAAAGAAGTTTAACAACTCTCTTGAAAGTTTGGGCACAAATGGAATAATCTTTGAATTCTGTATGAAATATCTGATCTTACTGAATGGATTTCTGTGCTACAGAGAATTTCCCACACTGAAAACAATGATCTGTTTGTTCGCTGCTATTTTAAGTTATTGTTGTGGAAATTGTTCTAAGCCCAAAACTTACGTTCTTGCCAACATCATCTTTGGAGCTAACAAGGTCCTCCATTTCAGCTTTCAACATTTTGTTTGTTCTCTCCAGTTCTTCTTTGGCTTCCAAAGCCTCTTCAAGTGCTCGGGCCAATGACAAAGCCTTTGTTTCTTTTTCTCTAGCTTCAGCTTCTGCTCTGTCCCTTTCATCTGCATATTTTGAAGAGATGTTTTTCTCTTCAGCTAGCATCTGTAAAAAGATAGTGTTAATACAGGAAGTCATTAGTAATAGGGTTTTTCTATTGCAACTATCTTGTCAGTTGTTAGTGGCAGAGAAAAATCTCTGCTTTTTGATAAATGTGTATAAATGCAAAATTAACCCGTGTATGCGTAGTTAAATTTTAGTTTATTTTTTGTCCCTGCTTTATCTTTCACTAAACCAGTGGAGTCTGTGGGTTCCAGGGAAGTTAAGTGATAACACAGCAAGGGAGAATCTTAAATCCATACCTGATCAAACTTCTTCTGTTTCTTCTCCAGGTTGGAGACCAGCTGACGCTGGTTGTCTAAGTCCACCACCAGGTCATCCAGCTCCTGCTGGAGTCTGTTCTTGGTTTTTTCCAGTTTGTCATAAGAAGCAGCCTTTTCCTCAAACTGTTGTGTGAGACTTTCAATTTCCTTCTGAAGTTTCTTTTTGCCTTCTTCCATAGTTTCTATTGTGCTGGAATATTCCTGTAGCTTCTTCTTAGAGTCAGAGAGCTGAAATTTGAATTCAGAGGACAAATCTTTATAGCAGCGACAACAAAGCTTGGCAGAGAAGATGGCCAGGAGACAACCAAGGCTCAGAAATCTTATCTAATTTGACCCATGTGAAGCTAGTGACCAGTTACCAATCACCCAGCCTTCAAAAAGTGAGGCAGACCACAGACCTAGTATGTACACACAGGCCTAGCGTGCAAGACTATCTTGGGAGCTACCTTGCATTTGTACCTGTCCTAGAGATCACGCTTTAAAAAAGAGGGAGATGACTGGCTCCATTGTGGAGCTTCACTGATGCCACTTGGGCTAACAGCACGAATTCCCTGAAGGCCCATGTGCTGTGCTAGGATAGTTTTACAGATCTGAAACCTCTGGAATTACTGACAAAACTCTCAGTGATGGAACTACTGATCTAGCTATGGCACTGATACCTGTATTGTCAGTGTTGAAATATGTCTCTCCAGATTTTGTTTTGCTTCTACTTCTTCATCCAACTGCTCTTGCAAGCTGTTCTTCTCATCCTCTAACTGACGAAGCTTGGTAGACACATTCAGCTTCTGCCGTGTTTCTTCCTGAAGCAGCTCCTGCAGTCACCACATCAATCGGCAGAACAGTCATTAGTTTAGGTCTTTTTATAGTACATTTTATAAACATTGCAGGTGAGTTGTCACTGGATGAAAGTTTACCTGTGTGTCTTGTAGCTGAGATCCTAAGGTTGCAACGTCTTTGGTCAATTTGATTGTCTTGCTTTCTGCTTCATTGAGCAAGCCAGTAACGTTTTCAACCTCAACCTATGCGACACAACAGTGAATAAACTCAGTTACTTTGCAGAATTTCAAAATCTTCCTTCAAATTTTAGTTTGCTCTAGATTGAAATCTTAACTTTGAACAGGATCTGAATCTGCTCCTATGCTTCTGGGTCATATCGAGCACCAACAGCACTTCTGGCTTAACTGGAATTCACAATTTTGCCATAATTTTTCTGGACAATATGTGGAATTTAAGTCCTATGGAACTAACTCCTATACACAAACTCTGCAGTGTCTTAACATGTCATCTTTGTGACCTGTGTATTAACACTCTCAAGTTCTAACACCATTTTTTGTCTAGTTTACCTTAGTATTTTATATCAAAACCTCGTCATATTCATAAGGCAATACTAGTTTATTCTTTTCAGTGAATTGCAAAGGGGAATGTTTTTGGGTTTTTTTTGTGGATTTTTCTTCCTTTTCCTAAGTTTGACAGAAGCTGATGCATTTTGATTATATTTCCTTGTTTATCCACTAACTTAAAATAATAAAGAAAAGTTTACTGCTGCTATGGACGAAGTTGTAACAATAAGCTTGATTAGTATTGATGGGCACTGAGTATTTACTGAAGAACCATTTTACATTATCTTTAGTTATTTCTTATTAGACACTAAATCATAGATAAGTGAACATTCTCATTTCGTTGTCGCTTTTTCTGAGCACCTTATATGGTTAATATCTGTCTAATCCACTTCCAGAGGCCACGTTACTATCAATGTTCCCCACCACCCAAAAATGAATGAACAGGAAGAAACTCTGTAAAACGTGCAGCACAGTCACTGAACCAGTGGTGGCATTACAGACTGCAGCCTGTACAGAGGGACAGTAAGACTAAAAGCTCTCACTTCCATGAAACAGCGTGGTTGTAATTGTTTAGTTGTGTGATAACTGAGGTAAGAGTTCAAGGTAGGAACCCTACAGATGACAAAAAACCCAAGCACTTCAGCTGAAGTCAACGGGGCTGGGATTTCTCCAGGTATACCCTCACAGAACAGTCTAAATTGGTCTTCTCAAGCCCAAGGTGTCACAGCAAAGGTCAAACTCCTTCCTACCTGTAACTTATGAACTTTTTCATTGAGTTCTGTCCGAACACGCTCTCCATCAGTGTATTTGGACTGTAACTCTTGCAGCTGTACTTCCAGCTTTTTCTTTTTGTGCTCCACATCTTGTTTGGCCTGATTCAGGCTCCTGACTTCATTAGCCAGATCAGCGTTGTCTTTCTCCAGTGTCTGTTTGGTCTTATCCAAGTTTGCTTTAGCCTACAAGCATGAAGTAAAGGAAGATGATCTGTAAAAGGAAGACGTTATCTAGTGGATACTTTTCAATAAGATGGATTTCTGATTACCCGTTTAAATTGTTCCAGCTGCTCTGTTAGCTCTTCCACAGCTTGAGTGTGCTTTTGCCTCATCTCCTGGACCTGGGCTTCATGAGTTCGAGTCTCCTCCTCCAGAGCTCTCTTCAGCACTGTGACCTCTTGTTCACGCTTTGCTCTGGAAGGTAACACACACATAAATGGAGCAGCAGCAGATAAGAGTGTTCCAGTCACTGGGAAAATAGTACTACTGCACAGTTACTAGACAGTATACTACTGAGCTTGGTGACATTTATTTTTGGCCCATGTTCTACATCTCCTTACCTGAGCTCTTGCTGGGTGGCTGTAGTATCCAAAGTATCCTCAAGCTCTGTCTTGAGAGCCTCCAGTTCTTCACCTAGGTCTCTCTTCTGTTTTTCTGCTTTGTTTCTTGCAGCCCTCTCAGACTCCAGGTCTTCCTGGAGATCAGAGATGTGAGATTCCAATTCACGGATCTTCTTGAGGGCGTTATTCTTCTGACTAGTTTCATCTTCAAGCCTGAGAAGAGAGTATTTCATTTTATATATATTAAAAAAAAATAATCATTTCACTTTAAGGAAATCAGTATACAGAGATTAAAAGAAAGCAGGGGGACTGATGCAAAAGGATCTGGCAGCTGTACTTTATCAGGATACAACGCCTGGAGATGCTGATCAGCCAATTCAGCAACAGTTTTGGTTGAGTGTTGCCCGTCTTAAATTTATACAGAAAATCCACTGAGACTCTGGAATGGATCGAGGTCAGACTCTTAAGTAATTTCAGCCTTTTGCCTATAAAGTATGTTGTTACATTTCATTCTTTACTTGACAGCCCTGCCAATGCCATTGGGAAGAGGAGTTTTCTTTGATATCTAGAGGTAAGATTATGTGTCTATGGGCAAAAAAATAGTATAATTATTTTTTGCAACAGGAAACTTGGAACATGGGGAAAGCATGCAGGGTGGATGTAACTGAAAGATGAGATTTATGGCTGCAGCAATCTCAGTGTCTGGAAAGGGAAGAAACCTATGTTCTATCCTGGGTTTTCAACCTGTGTGCAGATTCAGGAGTGAATACCTGGCTAGAGCAGCCTGCAGCTCTTCCTCCTTCTTGGCTAGCTGTGCCTTCAGCTCAGCAATTTGTGCCTGGAGCTCTGCAATTTGCTCATGTAGATCACTTGATTCCCCTTCCAACTTCCTCTTAGTTTTCTCCAGTTCTTGTCTGCTCTTCTCTTCTTTCTTCAGTCTCACTGAAAAAGTAAGGTTATGGGAGTGTGTTAGTGCAAGGAGTCCTTAATCTGATCTTGAACTTAGGCAAAAAAATGTTCTGGCCTCCAGTGAGGCCATACATTTAACTACAAGTCACTGTGTTTCTGAAGCAACATGCTGTACCTTACTGTCATCGCTTATTTCTAGTCAGCCCAAAGAATCATATCTTTATCTTTCTCCAGAAGCATCAATATTTTCCCAATTTTCTCTTGTCTACTCTTTCATATGTAAAAAACAAACAACAAAAAAATGTATCTATGGTTTATGCACCCTAGGGTTTTGGTGATTCTCACACACAAAATGGCTCCAGCAGAAGAAATTTGGAAAACACCCCACACATTTTTTAGAAGTTCTCTCCAGATTCTGTGTGTGGGTTGTGGTTTTTTGTTTTTGGGTTGGTTTGTTTATTTGTTTTGGGGTTTTTTGTGTGTGCTAAGAGAAAAAAACTGATGTAAACCACTTTTCGTATTACCTTCAAGTTCTGAAATCATTGATTCATGTTTGTTTTTCAGCTTTGTAAGATTTTTGGCTTTTTCTTCTTCTTCTGCAAGATTTGTTGTTAGATCACTTATTCTTTCCTCAAGGAGTTTTCTTTCCTTAAGAAAAATAAAATACTTCTGTTAACAAAAGCATCTGTCATTGGTGATCGTGAATCAACTGTTTGCCAACAAAAAATGTCCTTTTTATGCTGTATTTCCTGAGATTGTAGTGATACATTTCAATTTGTCAATTACAGAAGAGCTGAGGAGTGGTCTCTACAACTTCCATATTCTCTAATCTGCTGCTATTAGAATCCTGTACTCACTCTATTGGCTGGTAAGTACAGGGCCCAGTTCAGAGGACCATCCCCTTTCAAAAAGTACTGGAATACATGCTTACTTCTAGTTTTAATCATGAGGTTTGGTTGAAATTAGATGTAAACCAAGAGAAGTATTTACTCTGCTTGGGGCCCAGAAGACATGTATTCCACTGATTGTGCTTGACTGTTTTGAGTATTTTGCTTGAAGACATTGTTACCACAATAGACCTCAAAACCAGTAGTTTCACATGATTTTGAATTGTTTAAATAAGCATGGAAAAATTATCAGAAACTTGTTTGATAGAGGCTGGACTGATGGTCTGATAATCTGTACACCCATGAGACTATATAGTCAAGAGTATTCCTGTTCTAGCAGAAGAGAAGGTTTTCTCTCATCTTGCACTATTTTCACAAAGTAAGAAAAAGGACCATAATGTTTACCTTGGTTAGCTTGTTATTCTGGTCTTCCATTATGAGAATATCATCTTCCATTTTCTTTATCTTGCCATCTGCTGTTACTTTTTCAAGTTGCAGTTTCTGCCTTGCAGCTTCCTGGGGGGGGGGGGGGGAAGAAACCCACAAAACATGAGTTCTGGAAATAAAATACCACTTAGATTATAGGAAATGCTTAATGTTTGTCACTGCATGTGGAGTATGTTGTAGACTGTGTTGTTTTTATTAAGAACTAGACAGTCTGTAATGCTTGGTGATTTAGAAGGAAATGATTGTTAAAATAATTTTTTAGAGAAAAGATTATTTACAACTGAGATGGGGAAGAAGGGAACTTGGGAGGAAAGAGCATCGTTTGATTGTTCTTAGTTCAGTGGCACAGACACACATTCTACAGAGGGCTGTGTAGCAGGCACTTTCATAGGGTCTGAGATTTGCCAGTCTCCATTTTTTTTCCTCTGTGAGATACAAGTTATTGTCAAGTATTTGTCCCATGTGCCTCCTTACCAGCATTTGTTGTTGCATCTTTTTCTTTTCTGCTTGCAGCTGCTGGCTGCGTTCCTCCTCTTCCTCAATTCTGGCTTCCATCTCATGCAGAATCTCTTCCAGCTCTTGTTTCTTAGCAGCTAAACGGACTCTCATCTCTTCAGCTTCAGCATACAGTTCAGTTTCTGCTTGAAGCTGTTCCTGAAGGAGGTTCTTCTCTTCACAAAGCTACGCAAATAAAATGGGTAGGAAATTAAGACTAAGATTGTGAATTGCCCCACAGTGTCTTTTTGCTAGATAGTCCCAGTGTACAGGCAGGCAGCTCTGCCACAGGTCTTGTGTGGATGTTAGGCCGCTGCTGAAATAACTGGGAGTTTGTCTGCACAGAACTTTTGTTCTGGACCATGGCTGTGAATACAATTGTAAGTACAAAGAAAAAAAGACATCTCTCTTGTAATAGCTTCTAGAAATGGTGACAGAACAGCTAGCGTTTCTGAGGGGCTCAGGGCTGTAAATCACCTGTGTGTGTTTCAGTTCCAGCTCCTTCAATTCACTCTCTGCTTTTTGTTGTCTTTCCTTTGTTTTTTGTAGTTCTTCATCCTTGGCCTGCATTTCTTCCTCTTGGCGGGTGACTTGCAGCAGTGGTTTCACCTGAAAATAGAGAGCTTTTTTTTAAGAATGTTTCCTGTCAGTATTTATGTTATTGAGCATGGTACTTAAAGGTGCCAGGCTGCCTGGCACTAATGGTAGCACTGTCTGTTGTTCCTCAGGTAGTGGACAAATACTGTCCGGTCAAGCTTGATGTAAGCATCTTTAAACCAGCAAGTGACAACAGTGTTGCTCTTGACCATCTCTGTGTTAATTCTCAGAGCCTTGTGAGCATCTCTGCCTTCGTTAGTGTCACTTTTTGAATGGCTTCAAGCCTGTCTCTGTTCATTGATAATGCATAAAAGCTACATCTTCTGCATAGAAAGGCAATGTGCACATGCAGGTGTGTTACTGCCTGTTTCTGATTGCAGAGGAGGTTGCTGTCAATGCAAGTAGAAACAGTTTTCTGTATCCAAAATGAAGGCCATTCTTGAAAAAAAAAAAAAAACAGGCCTCTTCAAGGAAAACAGACTTAATTTGCTTGAGTGCCTAGCAGGAAGATGTTTAGTGTCCCACTTAGGAAACTCCTGAGCTACGGAGGCCCCATAGATACAAAACGTGTTCACAGAACTCAGTTTTACTCTGTCTTCTTATTACCCACCCCTGTGAAATGATTTCATTTTTGGCAATTAAAAAAAGTCCCCAAACATGTAAAATCTTTTATTAATCTCTGCTTAACTAGTTTCTTTTCTTCTCAAGCTAGAACTAACTTTAATGTTAATGGCATTATATAACTCTCCAGAGTATCTCTAACCCAAAATTCTGTGAAGCTAATAATTAGGTTGGAAAGGAACTTTAAGGTCATTGAGTCCAACCACCAACCTAACACTGCCAACACCACCACTAGACCATGTACCTAAGCACCACGTCTACATGTCTTTTGAATACCTCCAGGGATGGTGACTCAACCACTTCCCTGGGCAGCCTGTTCCAATGCTTAACAACCTTTTCGGTGAAGAATTTTTTCCCAATATCCATCCTAAACAATCCTGGTGCAACTTGAGGCCATGTCCTATCACTTGTTACTTGGGAGAAGAGACCGACCCCCACCTCCTACAACCCCCTTTCAGGTAGTTGTAGAGAGCGATAAGATCTCCCCTCAGCTTCCTTTTCTCCAGGCTAAAAAAACCCAGTTCCCTCATCCACTCCTCATAACGAGGCTTTTGACATCAGCTGCAATGGGCCTTGGAACAAGGAGTGTGCCTGACATGATATGCCTCATTTCTTTTGGAAAGCTGAGGAGAGATTTGCCGATAGCAGTCACTCACTTTAGTGAATAGTCTCCACCATTGCCAGTTCCTCAGCTTCAGGTAGGCAGCACAGTTTCTTTGGATAACCTTCATTGCAGTCAGCTGTTGCTGTCTCTTGGCAAAGGCTCTGTGATTAAAAACATAAAGCAAATTTGTTCAATCTGAGAGTATAAGGTGTCTGCAAGGTACACACATTAACAAAGAAACTCTGGCGGGAGAGTCTGCTGATTAGCCACGTGATTCGAGAAGTCTGACACAAATTCTTTTGACACTTAAACAGTGCCTGTGCTTTCTTGAGGAATGGTGATAACTCTGTTTAGCTTCCTGGTATTTTATTTAGTCTTCTGGTTGTCAACTGTTTGCACTCCACAGGTAGGCACAGACCACAAAGTATAGATCTAGTTCTGGTTGTGAACATCTTTCCAGAGTACGCAGGCATTCAGAACTTGCATTGGTCGTCATTCCTGAAACCTATTATATTTAAAATTCTTTGCTCGACAATTTGAAAGCCTTGGTAGTATGCAAAAAAAGGGCATTATTGTTAAAAGTGTTGTGATATATGTTAACTGAGATCATGCTAGATGATCAGTGCTTCATGCCCAAGCTGTGTAAGAAATTATTCGATGTTTTACAAATGCCAGTGGTACTGCTGCTTGTAATAGTGGAGAAGATTCTAGTTATAGGCTAGGATGCTCCTTCTCTCGCTTATGCAAACGCATGTTTAAATGATGGATTGTTGCCTCAGACAGCTTACTGTACAGAGGGTGTAAATAGCCTCATAATATAATTGCTTCCCTTTAATTATACTAATAAGCCTCTTCTGGGTAGGAAGTGAGTCCTTCATTGGACACAAGTTGAATTCTAATGCAATAGAAATAACAAATGATAATAAAATGTCTTAATATCTTCAGTTTGTTATACATAGAACTAAAGGCTACCGTAGATACTCTGCTGCAGAAGACATTCCTTTTGTTAGTACGTATTCTTACTTTCTTGCTAGGTAGCCTCGGCACTGAGCCTGGAAGGTGATAATAACGTCTGTGATCTTCAGGTCTCTCTCTTCTTCCAGGTGAGCCAGAACACCAGTTCTGAAGAAGATTTTACTCTGTCCAATTCTGTACAAGTTGGGATCAAGTTCTAATGCTTTGATCTGGAGGAAAAGAGGGATATTTGTTACCCTAAACCTCAGCACTGGAGTTATCGAAAATTACTACTAATTTCTGTTCACTCTCAACAGCTTTTCTATAAGTAGTATAGACCTGATTATCAATAGGATCAAAAATGCTTTCCTCACCATCAGTATGCAAGCCTGCTTCCCATCCATGAATCCTTTAGGAATAGCATTTGCAGCAAGAATTTCATATCTGCCAAAAGATGGTGATGTTAGGGAGGTTGAAATGCATCAGATTATTTTGTACAAACATGTACACCATGATTAAACCCAGAGTTAGGACTGAGTGAGGGATTCCTACCGCTGACGGAACTCCTGGAAGACAATCCTGTTGGGGAATCCCTGCCGGCAGATACGAATACCTTCCAAGACACCATTGCAGCGCAACTGTTCCAGCACTAAATGGGCATCAAGTTTGCCAGCCTGAAAAGGAAACAGAAAGTATTTTTAGTGCAGTATAAATTTACAAAAATGTTACCAGCTGCGTATCTATGTTTGAAGGCATCATTCGGCTCTGTGATGTGCTGGTACATTAAGCAGCTCAATGCAAATAATGTGCCAGGAGTCTGAAAACTGAGCCTTTGAAATTTACCCTTTTTTCATGATTCGGAATGATACAGCGGACAAAGTTGGGATTTGTATTCCTTAAGGTGGTCATCAGTTTGGTCAGTTGCTCCTTATAGAGTTGGCCAACAGTACGGAACATGCCTTTCTTGGTTTTTGAAGCACTAGGGAGTGAGCTTTCAGTCATCTTGGCCATCTGGTCCAGCCCAACTATACGGTCCACTGAAATATAAAAGAAAGTATGAATGGAACTGCTTATTTAAACTGTCCTCACATCACATTGCACCTGTCCCTGGCATTGTTAAACTGCAGCTTCTTCCCAAAGAGGACTAATATATTTTTGATGCAGTAGAAGTACTAGAAGAGCCTTCTGGGTAAATAGTTTATTTCTGTCAAACATGAAAATAAGGAACTTTATTAACTAATGACAGAATGGAGCAACTGAATACAGAGAATATGTTTTATGTTTGCTCTAAAAAGGAAAGTCCTTCTGCAAAATATGCAATTGGTAGGTTGGCGTCAGAACCAGAAACAACATCATGTCTTGACTCCCATCTGTTACCTGGTGGTTCTCAAAGTCTAGCTAATAATCCTCCTTAGTTATTTGATAATTCAAAGTCACCTTGCTGCTGTTTGCTTGCACGTTTATGTGCATATAGTAAATATTTATACTGTAGTATATGTGTTACCGATCCATATAAACTTTTCAAAAACAGTGCTTTATATGCATACAGAGGCCCTTCTGATGGAGTTTAGTTGAGATTATAGATCTCTGGAGAGAACTGGATGGGACTTCTGGGAGGGGAGTGTGTCAGGTAAGTAATTCATAAAACCCAACAATAACCTGTGCTCAATGAGGTCTATAATATCGCATATTCAGCAACTTTATAACATTGTAATGAATAATTTTTATTCTGTTGCTGAATAATATCAAGTAGGGAAATTTTTTGATTGTGCTTAAAACTGTCTAATGATGCTTTCCTTAAATACGTCTTTAGAACACATTATTCTGGTTTCTTAGTTCAGTCTCTTCTGTGCTTATCTTCTTCACACTTGGGTCCTGCCAGCAAGGGATGGCTGTTAAAAAGTTCTAGTAGAGGTTTATCCCTTTAAACCACTTTACTGATTTAGAGTTGTGATTCATACCATCTTTCCAAAGGTCTGCTACAAATTTGTCTGAGGACTGTTTCAGCAGAGAAGTCACATTGTCATTTAGCGGATCCATGTTCTTTGTTAGCCAGGCAGTTGCGTTGTAGGTAACCTGCAGGAAACAGTGCTACGTCAAAAAATCTGTTCTTGATGACAAAATCTGGAGTGTCCAAGAACACAGGGCACTGTATTAACACAAAATCTTACAAATAATAATAATCTGAAAAGCTTTTGATGTTTGAGAGCCAAGTTCAGTATTTATTCTTACATGTACTAGCATCTGAAAACTTCTTGGCAGAGATACCCATGGCAGGGCACTTGCCCTTCCTTTAAAAAATCTGCTTGCTAGAAAGGAATTTGAATTACTTGGATTTTCAGTAATCCTGGTGCTGGTTATTTTTGTTTTGTGAGCTTAGCACAACTATGAACATTTTGCAAATCTTATTTCATATGTTATGTAATTAAAGCACTTTCTATATACATTATATAATTAAAGCTGTCCCTTATCAATGCGTGTATCAGGCTGTTTCTTTTTTTACCAATCGGGCGTCAAAGAATCCAAGTTCCCTAAGTGAAAATAGCTCAATATGTCATACCTTTCCTGCGTAGTGCATTATACAGAACTCAGTTTTATCCTTGAGTTGCTTGGGCTTCTGGAATTTGGGATGGTTGCCTTGCTCTTGACATAGTTTCTCCACAAAGGATGTGTCAGTAGCTTTGGGGAACCAGCACTCTTCATCCAGCAGAGCCAGGACACCTGGAGGGTTAGTCTGCAATGTGAGCAATATCAGATCAGTATCATCACAGGCAGAGGCAAAGAAAGAGCACCATTTTCTTTATCCCTTATGTTACAAGTCGTCCCAGGCAACAAAGGATCTGACATGCCTTAAATGGCTCTCTTATACATAACTGATACATAACTGACCCAGATGCAAGCTAGGTACTATCCCACCTATAGAGATATAATCTTACTTACTGGTCTTTCAATCAGCTCAATGCAAGGTTGCAGGTCAAGGCCAAAGTCAATGAAATTCCATTCAATGCCCTCTCGCTGGTATTCCTCTTGCTCCAATATAAACATTGTGTGGTTGAAAAGCTGCTGAAGTTTCTCGTTAGTGTAATTGATGCACAGCTGCTCAAAGGAATTGATCTGTGAAGAGGGAAAAAAAATTAATTCCTAGTGTTAGAACAAGACCTTCATGAGGGGACTTAAATGACAGGATGAGATTTGCCATCTTCTATGTCTTTTTACATATTACAGTAATTCAAATGTAAGGATTCATATTTTTCTAATATAAGGACTTGACAATTTACAGTGAGTTCTCTAGTGGTAAATCTTTGTACTGGGTCCTGTTCAATAAACCATAAAAAGCAGACCCTGGCTCTAAACACTGAGCCCCACAGGAGCCCAGCAGGAGCATGCTGCCAGCCCTTCCTGCCCAAGGGAGAAGTGAGCAAGGGTGTAGTAGGCGTGTGGGTCATGTTGGCCACGGGCTGCTAGACAGCTTGAAAGAACCAAATTGCTTTTGTGACTCTAAACTTAGATTTTTATTTTTTATTTTTTTTTGTCATCTTGCATCCAAATGCCTGCATGATAATAAGGAGTTTAGCCAACTTGTGTCCCATAGTACATACCTCAAAAATTTCAAATCCAGCAATATCAAGGATTCCCAAGAAGGAAGCACCTTGTCTTTTTGTTTTATCAAGAGCTTTGTTTACACGAGCTAGAATCCAACGGAAAAGACGTTCGAATTGTGCCTTGGCCAAAGCCTCTATGGCAAAGTCCGCCTGAGAAAAAGAAGAGAAAATTGAAAGTGAAAGAAGAAACCCAGTTAGCTGCTAATTTCTGTATAGATCATGAGACAGAAAACTGACATTTCCCTTTAGGCAAGATGTAAGAAAAAAAAGAGAAAGGAGAATAGTTTCACGAGAGCTAAGCACACTGCAAGTAGATACCTGCTCTTTGGTCTGAGCTTTCTGAACAACATCTCGTCCTACTTTGATCCTTGGGGTTAGAATAGATCTTGTGAAATCTGTCACATTAATCCCCATCAGGTGACACACTTTTTGTGCAGCTAGAATAAAAGAGTGAGATTTTATTCCAGATCAAATTTTCTCTTAGCAGGTCCGTAAGTGTGAATATGGGCAGCTCAGCAAGTATGTGAAGTTCATTTAAAAGCTCCTCTATTGTACACACAAGAGATGCCCCTTGCCACAAAAGTATTCATGATCCAAGCAGTAAATTCACTGTTCATCAATTTATGGATCCAAGATTACTAGAAAAGGTAATAATAATTGAGCTAATTTTAAGTATAGTATATCTTTTAAAGCCTGTGAAAATAAAACCTTTATTTAATAACAATTAAATAAAAAGTACTGATAAAGAGTGCTTACTCAGCTGCTGTTTTATTAGTTTTTTAGTGTTAACTAAATTTTTTAAGTGGCAAATCATACCAGTGTTGTCTGGCATAGAAGCTTGATCAGTGTTTCTCTCCTTCTTGAAGACAATGTTACCCAGTTGTAGAACAGATGAAACAACCTTCAGTACAGCTGTAAGAGAAACAGTTAATGAAGAACAGAATGGACACATTTTGAAAGCTCTATCCTCTGCAATAACGAAGACTCATTCTATTGTCTATGGTAGTCGGTACCTCTATGGAAAGAGCTAGGTTTGCTTTGAAAGACTGTGCCAGAAACTGTAGGATTTTGAGAGCTGATTGAGCAGCATCTCAACAATCTGTGCCGTGGAGTAAACAGGCCAGTCTGGGAACACCAACACCTCCAAGCTAAGTTGTGCTGGGTCCCCAGGCAGACCCCCAGGTCTCAGGAGTTTATCTCCCGCTCACAGTGGCTTGTAGTATCCTCCCTGCTCAGTCACTTGACAATCTGTATCTCTGTCTTTAAAATGATAAAAAACCCCACTATGAATTACCAGCAGCTTCAAAAATGTGTGGCGCTTCTGAAGCTCCAGCTATGCAGGAACATGTGAATATTTAGTTGTGCAACTAAAATCAAATGTATAAAAATCTTTGAAGGATTAGTGTCAAAGTACAGAAAAGTAATTGTATAATGCTTGATTGCTAAAATAGATATAAATGATGTTGCCTAACTTCAGGTAGTAAAATCTCCTGATGTTACAGGTGAGATTATGAATCTAGGGAGTTCTATTTGTTTATTCGGTAAACTTACACAGGAGAAGAATACTATCCTGATGGGCTTATATTTTTAGAGCATGAAATCAAAGGGGTTCAGACTGTAATACAACGACTCCTATTGTTGTAATGGAGAATGCTGCTGTCAGCACCAATCCACGTGACCTGGCAGGAGAATGAACCAGCCTCCATCAGTAACATCATCTGAATTTACCAAGGCTGGGATTTGCACTGCTGTCCTGCAAGCATCCCTCAGTCACTGATGCAGGGGTAGGATGTGACAGAGCTCTGCTCTCAGCTGCCACAGCTGGTCCAAGGCTCAAGTGATGGGGTGATGCTGTTTCTGCCACCAGGTGTCACTTGGGGCATGGCAATTTGCAGCCATGGGCAATGCACACTGGCATGAACCAGCTGAAGCCCTGCACACTCCCAAGAACAGTGAGAGGTAAAAGCTACACAGATGTCTCTGGCAGGCCCATATTTTCAAGATAGTTTAGTTGTTGGTTCATGCCCTTTTTTTTTATTTCTCTTTCCTCTGAATCAGTGAATACAAATATGAGTTATTTGAGCCTGTTCCATTTCTTTCAAAATTAAATCAGAATATTTTGCAACTTCTTCATGCTCATTGTTGGAAAGTTCTGAAGAAATGGCTTTAAATGGTCATTACTGTTGCTAGAGCTGGCTTAAATTCAGTAGTCTGTTCTGGGTATGTATGGAGTTCTTCTAGTCAGAAATCTTCTGTTTCATAAACATAAATTACATTTCAAAACATCACATGTCATAGTACTTTTGCATGCTGACAACTGCACCGATGCTGTGGAATTCAAATGGGTCAGGAATGCATGTCATGTTCCTCCCACAAGCAGGTCTCTGGACTTTGTAAGACTTACAAGAAAAAGCCTTGCAATTATTCATTCAGATGGACAGCAAAATATTGTAACAATTATTTTATTTGATCCATGTTTAAATTACTGTATAGAGCTGCCCTGTGCATCAACACTTGTTCTGTGCATCATAGAGATAATTCCTCTTTGGTGATATATACTCTGTTTTCCAATATAGGTGGTGATTCTTCAAGATTTCTTTCACTGTGTTTCCAGCAAGTGCTGCCAATTTAAACCTTTGAAGGGGAGGTGGTTTGCAAAGAGTTTTCATTATTGGCTTCAGCTGCTCCCACTGGTACGCACTGCAGCAATGGGAAAAGGTAGGCCACTGTAGTAACTTTTTAAGTAGAACTTTTCTAACAACAACCTAAAAGCAGTAAATCATAATTAGATCTCCTTGCAAGGCAAAAGCAGTCACCCTAATACTCACAAGACTTCCTGAAGTATCACCCTGTTTAATACAAAGGTGGCAATGATTTGAAGGAGGCTGTAGTGTTTTGTGTCATGGATCTATAACAGCAGTTTCAGTGTCTTCACTGCCAGTCTATTCGCAGCCCCTGCTATCCTCCCCCTGGATGCCTGCTGCTGGTTTATGTTGTCTTCAGGCACTGTACTGCCACCCGTTCAATTGCTTGTTGTTACTGGCTCTGACCGTGCTGCTCGTGTTATATGATCTTGATCCCGTGTTTAGATCCTGCCTTGATCTTGTGTCTCTTCTGATCATGCAGAACTGAGTTCCCGTATTATTGGTAAGGTGAGGTAGAAACAAATCTGTGCTTGTGAAGTTTCGCCTTGGGAGAGAACCTTCATTCTCTGTCCATGAGACATCTATGGCTTAATTCATCTAATACATCCTGAGAAGGAGGGAAATCTATGGGCGCTAATTCACAGTGCACTTCTTAAAAATAGTAGGTAGGTAACATTTGGTAATAGTTTTACATAGGGGAAATAAGAAGCAAAGTAGTTAAATAACATAGGTACATTTAGAATTTTCCAGTTGGTGGTTCATGCAAGATCACACTTCTCCAGAGAAACATGGACATGAAATCTAAATAATCTTAATTTTCTTATATGAATGTAGAATCTTACTTCATATGCATATTTTGCAAAGTGGTGGTTCTGGACAGAATTAACCTCTGTGCATTTACATCCCTATGTAGTGTCACTTGCAGATGTATACCTTGAATACAATCTTGCTAACAATTCTCACCTATCTGTTCCTCCTCATTAAAGCCCATAATTTTCATGGCTTCCAAGGTCTCCTGGAACATCTCATCATCTTGTTGAGCAGGAATAGGCACGTGGCCATTAGATAGAAAGGTATAATTGTTGAAGCCTTCCAGCAACAGATCGTCTAAAAAGCAAAGAAGAAAAGCTTTATTTAAGTGCATCAACTTAATGCTCACAGTTCATGAGTTCTCCCAATGAAAAACAGGAAAAAAACACAGTGTTTTCACCAAAGAAAGACTCTGTTTGTATGAGAAGCCTGGAGTTTTGTGGTGCACAAATATTTTCAAAATAACTATTTAGCAAGCTTGTGTTAAGTTTCCAGTTTTCATTAGTAACTGGGGAATTTCTCTGCCCCTCAGTCAAATTTTGCACCCTATGGAAGGAAATCTGAGACATTCTTCCCAGAAATCTTTCATTTAACATCACGTCTAACCTACTCAGAATTACACTTTTCTCTGTGATGATTCCTTTCAGGTAATGATAAGCATGGAACCAGGTAACAACCATAGTGGGCCAAACCAAGAGACTCTTCAGCCATATACTGTGGCCAACAACAGATTTTTAGTTAATGAGCATATAAAACAGGGAAAATACGGAGTTATCAATTGCTTTATACGTTCTTTGGAAATCAGTGATTTAGGGAAAGATGTCATATTTGAACCATGATCTTCCAATACATATTATGTCTAATCCATTTTTTGAATTCCCTTACATTTTTCACCTTTTCAACATTCTGAAGCTATGGATTTCACAGTGTAATAATGTGCTGTGGGAATGACATTCTCTTAATTTATTATAAGACCACAGCCCAATATTTTTATTGGGAACCCAAATTTCTTTTGTGTTAAAAAAAAATAATAAAACGAATGACTCTTCCTTATTCATCTGCTTGATATCATTCAAGATGGGATCTGAATGGGTTTACATTTCCTGTAAATTGAAATGTCCTGTAAACTGCAAAGAAACTGGATCAAACAGGGGGACATCAATTGAAACTTTCTTATAATTCACTTGAGAGAATTATTTTCTAGAGCTAAAGAGCTATTTATGTCATTCAATCCTTTATATAAGTACATTTAAAGAAGTAAAGATAAATTACATAAGTAAGACGTTGCTCAGACTGTTGAATGAAGCCTAAGAATGATTAGCAAGTAACTTACTTCTCATTTGTTCAGAAGCTCCAGCAATCAAATAGTAAAAGATATGAAACGTTCGCTCATCTTTAGCCTGACGAATAGCACGGGATTTTTCAAGCAAATCTGTTTGTCAAGTGTGTTAAAAAAAAATAAATCAATAACATATTTCAGTCCTTCCTTAATTGTGCCATCAGCCTTGCCTCAGAACCACCAATAGTATTGTTGAAGTATTTGCTATGAGCTTGTCTAACAGTAACATGCATCTAATTCTGTGACAGGAGCTCTGGTATTGGTATAATTCTCACTACAATGAGTAAATTAATTTCCTACCTCTTATTGTATGGTAAATGCTGGTAATCATGGTAATAAGCACCACAATAGGCATAAATGCTTCTAAAATCAGTATAATTCACACCACTTTTAAAATGAAGTACCAATATGACACTTGCAAAATAAGGTGGAGCTGCTACAAAAAAAGCTCGAGGCCCATATTGTATGTATAAAAGCAATAAAAGCAATCTTTATTTTTGGTCCATTTTTGTATAAACTAACAAAAATTAAGTTGGCAATAGTGTAAGCATGTCTACATCAGTCAGTGATGCACTCTTTAAAAGCTATAGTGCTATAGATAAAACTTCAGTTAAGATCAAAAAAATTAAAACCTGATTTTTTCTAAAGATCACTTGTGAAAATAAGAACAGAAGGATAAGTGTTTGTTGTTCGTGTTAAACCCAAGAGATAAGGTCCTTCTTTATAGTTGCATCTTTCTTTCTCCTTTATTGGAGTAAGCGGCTCCTCCTCCATGCAAAGATGAGCAATGCAGCACATTCTAGCTATGAATCTAGCTACATATTAATTTGTTCATTAAAACACACTATCTCATAAACCAAGGGAAGAGGCAACAGTACTTGGCAAGCAATGTCAGGCTAACTTGAATTTCTTTGATATATCTGTAATTTTTCCTGACAATATACATCAAGGTTATTGAAATATAGCTCACTGCTCTGGGGGTGTCATTTGAAACAGCAGGGCAGAATTTAGCATCCAGAACAGACAAGTTCTCTGGAAATATCTAGCACTTGATGCTATCTGGGACATCAGCACCGGCAAAATACTTGCTTCACTTCAGTTGAGTGAGTTTCCAGAACATGCAATTTATGACAATGGCAGTTTATCAAAATATGCAGGGCTGAGGCAATTTCAGCATAAACTGTCCCTTGGTTTGACAAAGGCAGAGGAACTGTAAGGACTCTAAGACAGCTCTTCTGAGCATGTTCTTTGACTTTTCCTGTCTCTTTTGTCTTTATTAAAATGAAATCTTTAGAGGGGTGAAAGGGAAAGGAAAATTTTTTATTAAAATGGCCCTTCAATCCTCCAGACGTGAGCTAGAAAGCTCCCATACTAGGGATCATATAGACTTCTCCCTTAACAGGTTATTCTCAACACTTTTTCTTGGAATGCCTCTATCCCAGTACAACATACGTGACCTTTGCTACAGCTGAAGAGCAGGGCGCATACAGCCACATTCAGTCTGCAAGGCTCGGGACCCTTCCCTGACAGAAGCCAGGGTGCACAGTGCTGAGGGTGAGATCGTACTGAGCACCTGGGCTTCATCCCAAGATGCCGTCAGGACTGGGACAAAGTGCCAAACCTGGGCTTCAAAGCTGGGAAGCACTCCCCAAGTTCCTGCATAAACCGTAGTGATAATACCAAGCATTCAGTGAAGTGTCTGTCACAGCACCAGTAAGAATCGATAAAGTTTCAAAACCTTTTATGCAGCTGGAAACGTAGACCACAGGGAACTGGAGTGACCCATGCAGGATCACACTGATACAAACCAAAATGACCACATAGCTCTCAAAATCACATGCAATCTTAGCCACAAAACAACCTTTTCCCATTATTGTATTACTGGGATTCTGCTGTTGCCTTAGGTATGGTGCTTCCATTTTCTGAAGCTGTATATGGGGAATACCACACTTTCCTATAGCTGAGAAAACAGACCTGAAAATGTAAACATGAGAGTAAGACAAACTGAGAAGCTGGTATCAGCATAAATGGAGCCACTTCCCTCCATCTTTGTTTATACCAACCTCAGCAATATTTGCCTTTCTTAGACATGCAATGGAGCTTGTTTATCTTACTTCCTTCTGCTCACCCTAGTTAGCTTCCAGTGCAGCTCACTGAAAAGGATACAAGTCTCTATGTTTGCTCCGACAATGTAGCCTGTCACATCAAAGTTGATGCGGATGAATTTGCCCTGTGAATGAAAAGAAGATCTAGATTGGGCTGTTCTTTCATGTTATGCCAAAGTTTTCCAACACTAGTATCTACCCTGTTTAATAAGACATGGACATCATCCTCTTAAGAATAATACGCTTGATTCCCTCCCGCCAGGACAGCCTGTGGAAAAGCCTGAAAGGAAGTGAACTTCTCTGATACTCCCTCTGCAGAGATTTGCCCCAACATTTTGTTGATGCTCTTAGAGGGAAAAGGGTCCTTGCTACTGGACCAGGCTTTGGAAGCTGGGGATATGACAATGTCTATTTTCTACTTTGATTTCCACAAGTTCAGTGAGGGAATCGCATTGGATCTGCGTAACTCCCTCTGCTAAGGTTCATCTGCATGGATCCCTGAGCTTTGTAGGGAGAGAGCAGAGCGGGGAGTGGAGAGTCTGCAGGGAAAACAAGCATCTGCCAGCACTCCCAGAAAAAAGTGTCATCAAATAGTGACAGCCCTCAGCTCACATAATTCTAACTTGAATCTGTGTGACTGTTTTTATTTTTCTCCTGTAGTTTTTAATTTAATATATTAACCACTCTTGCTAAGTAACAGTCACACCTTATGAGATATATGCTCAACAGTGGTGCAGAGAAAAAGAAAGTATAGATTTTGTTTGCAAATATTCTGAAGGTGGGTATGTCCTGGAACAGGAATTGATGCTGGAAGGTGACACATAGACTGCTAAATTGTGAGAGGAAAATGGTACTGTCTAGTTTGAGCTTGATCTTTAATCTTCTATACTGCTAAATTCCTATTTGAGAGAGGAATTTAAACTGTTTTTAAGGGATTAGTTTTAAGACGGTCTTTAGAGCGAAGCACTGATGAAGGCTACTGTCTGTGCATTGTGTTTTAGAAGATGCTATACTTCCCCCCCCATGTAGAAACAACTGGATTTCTCCTACTTACGAATCTGGAGGAGTTGTCATTCTTCACAGTTTTGGCATTTCCAAAAGCTTCAAGAATAGGGTTTGCCTGTAGAAGCTGTTTTTCCAGCTCACCCTAAAATTCATTCAGATGCAGTTAACCCTAAACTTCATAATTACTTACTTAACACCAAGAAATGTACACCGGAGAAAAATGTGAAAGATAATTTAAGCCTCTAACTTTTTTTTTGCTGATTACTGCACTTCATGTGGATTTGTTTTCATTCTCTGTTAATCTTTGTGTTTATATTTGTGCAGTTGACTGCTGTCCTGTATATGTGACCCTTTTCCAGCCCTGTTGCCTGTGACAGATTAAAGTCTATTAATCTGTTTAGCATCATGACTGGCCTTTCTTTAAAAAAAGGGTCATTCAATGTCAAATATTTTTTTTCCAGTTTAATATAATTTTTAGAAGGGATATTCTTAAAGGAACCTCTAGCATGTCTTTTTCAAGTTAGTTTATTGAGATCCTTTGCTAGCAAATGACGATGTAATTAGAATAACTTGCTGAGAATAATTTTAATGTAATGCAGCACAAAGCTACAAAGCAGATTTCATTGAGTCTATTAATAATGATCCATGCAAGGCTATTTAGGTTAAATATGGAAATGCATTGATTTATTTCCAACTAGGATAACGAATTGTCATGCAAACACACAAACTTTGTATTATATTGTTAATTGTTATTGGCAATTGCTAATGAAACAAATCATGCAATGAAACAAGCATGCATTTAATACTCCTATTTCTAAACAAATCAATGAAATTGAAAAAATCCTTTGCTTATGAATACAGCTTTATTGAACTTTTTATTCAGCTCTATCCTATGAGGTCACTCATATTTGCTTCTTGTCCTATTCTTTAAGTACTACTCTGCAGTAACATGCATTATTTCAAATAACTCACCCTGAAAAGGGAGAAGTCCTTGATAGATAGTATTGTATCATTTAAGTAATTTTAGTTAGAAAATAAGGCAATATTTAGGTTGAATCTGGGGGAAATAATTTGGAAAATGAAAGTGCTTCCCAATTAGTCTACAAACTGGTTACCTTTTTCTAAATGCCACTCCTGAACGTCTTGTAACTTATGTGGCAATGATAAGAGCTGCCTCAAAAGTATCAATAAAAAGCAACAGATTGTTAACAAAGGGCTAAACTTATCCACGTGGTCTTGAGACAGGAGAATGAACACCTTCCTGAGGGCATAGGTCTTTTGAGAGCCAAGGCGTATGTCAAGAATGCATTTTTGCAAAAAAGAAAAGAACCCCCCCCCAAAAAAAAATCCCCCAAAACTTATTACCTAAGAGTTGAAGGAGGATTTCCAAACAAGCTAATGTAGGACTCCTAGAATAAGTAATGAATTCCTAAAAGTCCGTGAAGTTTCTCTGTATTAAGCAACTCTTTCCAGTTACGCTCTGCAGACTTAAAAACTCCAGTATAAGCATAGGGTGTTGCTGAAATCAGATGGTGACAGCTGAAATAGAGCCTTGTCTGTTAAACTGAGACAGATACCACCTGCTTCTGGTGAGAACTGAACTATGCAATAAACTTGAGGTATAAAACTGTGGCTACAAATTAACAGCCCTGTATGCAGCTCTAAGTCCACTGAATTCCACAGAGTTGTCTATGTCAGTAATGAATTCATTTTTTTGCAGAGAGCTTGTAAAATTAAATACTAAATTAAGTAAAAGGCAACACATTGCCCTTTGTCATAGCCAAAGTCTGAGAGGCAGCAGTCAGAATGGGGAAAAAAAGACCACATAAAAAATAAAATAAAAATCCCATTTGCCTGGCACAGAAACAGAAGGAATATGCCAGCAAACCTGCCTGTATTCCCAAAGCATTGGTATGCTGGCACGGCACACCACAATACAGGACGGCCCAGGAGGGCCTGTAAGAAACTGCTGTAACAACCCTGCAGATACACGCTGCAGTGGGGATTGCTCTGTTACACATCATAGCAGCAAGCTAAGAACATGCTAACTTTTGCGGATGTGAACAATTCTCAACAGTTACATGAAAATGTAAAATTGAAAGCAGTATCGAATGGAAAGCATGCAGCAAACCAAATCAATCAAACACGTGAGGTTTAGGAATTATTTCACAACAGTCCTAAAAAGTTCAACCTGAAGCACAGAAAGCATTTGGGTATTTTCATTCAGAAATCACATAGCTCAATTTCAGGCTGAGTGGCTCTTTCAGGATCGTGGGAAATTTCATTCAAACTATGGCAATTTGAACACACACATATAGAAGAGAGTGGTATTTGAAAGATGACCCTGCCTGTGTCAGACCTCATTTTTTACCATGGAGCCTGACACAGTTAGGGTTGATTTGTGAGAGCATTTGGCGCTATTGTTGCTTTTTGTCATATCATACAACATATTTCAACAAAATCTCTCTTAAATTTTTGAGGTGCAACAATAGCATGCAGATCTACACTCAGTGCCTTAAACACACATCAAACAGTCTAAGTTACTCACGTAAGAAAAAGATGGACCTTGCTGTATTGAATAATGTGGTATAAAACAAGTGTCAGTATCATTTCCATTACACAGACATTTTTATTGTTTTTCCTGTATTAAAATAACCAATACACAGTTTCCATGCAAATAAACCAGGAATACAAATAATCTATTGCAGACATACCAAGAGTACAAATACTATTAACATATACAGAGCATTTTAACTGAAGAAAAAACAACAACCCTGAAGCAAAGGGATGGGATTTGGATCCAGTCCCAGGTTAGTCTCCCAAGACCAGACAAGGACAGGTATTTTTGTAGTAAACCCCCAGTTCTTCTCTGGTGCAACTGAGGCATTTTGCTATTCATTATTTTTTAATGACTGAAATTGCAGTGTGAGTAGTCCCAGTCACTGAATCACTATTTGTCAGCATGTTATAGAACAACTTATACTTTCTCTCAGCTCCCATCTGGTGGATATTTGCCTTCAGGTAAGTCTCAGGGCCAGACTGATCCTGAGATTCATGTAATTCCCCAGAGGAGTCAGCAGTAACTGCAGTTACATGCCCGTTAGGGATGGCCTTGAAACCACAAGTTCATTTCCCCCAGCCACTGGGCAGGGACCCAGTAGGCAGAAATAAGTTTTTTGCATAAACATTCAACAAACAAAAATGATGCCTTTAGTCTTGGACTGTTTCCACTAAATTTAATCACAAATTAAATGTCTAGAAAATACTACCCACAGGACATCTACTCCCTTCCCTGCCCCAGAGCAGAGTCTGCAGTATGTAAACAACAATTATTTATGGTGGAAGAGGCCAGGCTGCCCACCCTGTGCTGTGGAGTCCTCTGTCTGCCACCATACATGGTAGGTAAGGGCAGCCACAAGACCTAGCACAGGTGTGGTCATGAGATTTTTACTTCATCTTCCACTACCCTACTAATTACTTATTTTGGACCCGGTCTTGCATTTGAAATGTCTTCCTGAATTAAGCCTGTTTTGTTATAAAAGTGAATTACTACTTTTTTTTGGCAGAAGTTTGAGTAACATTCAAAAGGCTGGAAATGACGGAAGACCTGGAGTTGTATCATTGAAAACAACAGAGACAGTTGAGAGCCTCAGGAACACTAATGATCTCTGGGAACTGGCAGGTATAACCTCGTATTATGGTTCAGAGCAAGAAAACAAGCTTTAGTCACTAAGGCAAAACTATTATAAATTTTGAAGGAACAAAGTACTTTAAAAAAAATTGTGCCTTTCAAAATTGTTCTCTCTGGCAGAGGACTAAAAAGAAAAGACAAGTTTTCTACTGGGAGTCTTTGCTAGTTAGTAAGAAAACTCTCTTACTAGCAAGGCCAATCAAAACTTTGGAAGTTTAAATGCTGGTATACGTTTTGGTGATGCAGTTGGACAATGTGTTGAAGACTTCCCCAAACTTCTTAGTTGCCAGGGGCCAAGGGTAAAATAAGGACCTGAGCCCTTGCAGACTCCAAGGCCTTCATGCTAAGATATAAATAGGTGCTATGCATATGGAAAGCTATGAATATTTCTCTTCTAGCGAAGTACATTCTGATTTGATGCCTGAAGGGGTGTCAAACAAAAGTTTTTTTCCATAAACATAGAGCTGTGACGTAATTGTGTACTCTTAATATGTCGACTGTTTGGCAAGCCACAGACGCTGACTTGCTGTTAGCACAGTCAGCCCAGTACAGTCCTAACGGGCTTGAAGAAGAGTTGAATACGGAAGAGCTCACTTACAGTGATGCTGGTGTCCTTTTTGCCCTTATGTGATGAAGCAACAACAGCCAGGTACTGAATGACCTTTTTGGTATTTTCTGTCTTGCCAGCACCAGATTCACCTCTGAGGGGAAAGAAAATAACACAAAAGAAGGTAGGTAACCAGGGACTCCTTCTGCCATGTGATATATTTAACGTATAAAAACAGGGCTGGAATCTTCCCAGCTCAGTTAGTATTTACCCCAGAACACTGTCTCTCCAAATCCACCTGACTTCAGCACGCAAAGAACACGTTATCAGAGCTATATCTCTGTCCCATTAGTATTTTGACTGGACATTGGGCCATTTAAGGCAACTCTAAAACATGATGCATTTTTGAACGGCAGTTCATCTTGCTTTGGCAGCCTCGGAACATTTATGAGAAGTGGAGCTGGCAGGGAGTCTGCTTGTATTTTAAGAGCAAAAAATAAAACATTAACTATGATGTGGTACAGCAGTAAGAAAAAACATCAGCAGTAATACAATAGTTTTCTCTTCTGAAACTCTGGCATTAAAGTAGACTAACAGCTTTTATCAGTGCTGGAGAATAAGGGGATGATCCTGCCTCATCTGAACTCCATGTTCAAACACTCCTTGAATTCAGTCGGACCAGACCTGGGATTGCCTGAGGTGTCCCTGCTAACTGGGTAGTAATGGACATCTTGTGTGGGGAGATGTCTGAGCAGCAGAACTGGCATGCCAGCTGTGCTCCACACAGTGTTCCTTGGGTAGCAGGAAGGCAGTGGTAACTTTTCACCTCACAGAGGACTTCAGGGTTAACTTTATTTGCAACTCTTAAGCCCTCTCTTAAAGTAAAATACTGGTTTTCAAAGTACAGGTACAAGGGCCAAATTTACACAGTCTTTTCTCAGAAGAACTTTTCCCAGCCTACTTTTCCCTTTCTAAGTGTCACTTTATATCATCTCATGTCTTCTAGATACCTTTGGCTCTGGTGATTATACACACGAAAATGTTTTTACACTGTCCTGTCTCAGCAATCAAAAAGGACAATTAAGTGGGTGTGGATGTAATAAACTAGTGCTTTCAACTGTATCAAGCTAGTGCTGTGAGGACAGCAACAGTCTAAATGTAAGTTGGACCTCTTTGGATTTAAACTAAAATGGATTTAAAAATAAAAAGAACAATACATTCAAAAATCCCGTGGATATTTGTCAACTCTTTTGAAGCTGAAACTATTTAGCTGGATCCATTGCAGTTCTGCTTCTTTTCCTAATTAGGAAATACAGGAGTTAATTTTCCCTACCAAGGGACCAGTGATAAATGGACATAAAAAATATGAGTAAGTGCTGGGCAGAACTTTCAAGACGGGATGACATTGATGTAAACCTTAGGAAACCAGAAACAATTCCTGCCTGAGGTACGACATGATGAGAAGTGTTTCTTCTGGCTTTTAGAGTTTTAACCAGAAATAATTGAGATGAATATGTTGCTTTTCACAAGACCTGGGTTAATTTGCACAGTTTAGAGGCTGGATTCATCTCTGCCTGGGCTTCAGTCTAAAACATTTCCATGTTTTATTGATAAAAATTAAGTGTCCTGGGAAGAATTCCAAACCAAGCACACCAATTTGAAAACATATGCATACAAAGTTTTCAAATAAATCTACCTTACAACTTTGTTTCTTTGGGGGGAAAAAAAAAAAACAACAACCCACCAACTTTCTTCAAACAAACCCCGGGCTTTGAACTATTCCATTTTATTAAAGGTTATTTGTAGTTCATCGCTACATGAATTGCATTTCCTTTCTCCCAGGGCAACAGTGCCCATCATTTGGCTTTCCCCTGAATCCCTGTGAGTATTACCATATATGGCATCATTTTACTTGTAATTATCCTACCATACTGTAATGCTTAAGTTACTTAACATTTTGTTCTGTGCTTTCATCCTTAACTCTTTGTTCCTGCACAGGCTGAGGGTTTGCCTAGTTTCTGCAGATAAACTGTGCGGCTTTAACTGCCTTTTGAAGTGGACAATAAAAAGTTCTTCAACATGAAATGGAAAACAGGCAGGATCTCAACAGCTAATACAAGTAGGAAAAAAATCTCTAAAGTCAATAAGTAATGAAGAATAATGTCCATAGCTGATGAATAAATCTAATTTTTCAACACATCAGATAATTTTTAAAATGTCCATGACAATAGAGAGGTCTGATGAACAAGTATCCATTAAACAACTTTAGTAGCCCTCAAACTCTGAAGGATCCATCAGGGCTGTAGATTTCATCTCAGTGATAAAATACCATGTGTTTGAAAACTAACTAATGAGGAGGAATGACTAGATTAGGTTCAATGCCTCTAAACATCAAGGGGGAAGACCCAGGAGGAGGAGAGCATGTGAATCTCTTAGTCCACTTCACAGGTGAATGAAATTCTTCCTAGAACTACTGAGCTACAACAGAATTGGTCCTGCTGTTTTTTTTCTGCGTGTCTGCTGTGAAATACCATCATTTCTTGGGTGGCAGAAAAAACTTTCATTGTGAGGTGGTATAAGAAATTCCACGTGTTTTAAAATCTACATGCTCTCTTGAGCTCAGTGACTGGATTTTTAAAGATGGATCTTTTTTTTGCAAGTATATTTCAGGGGTTTTGGCATGGACCATACACAACAGGGTTCCTCCCGGGAAGCATCTGCTTCTCTCTTCTGAATGCCCGTTTTCCTTAGTCTAAACTATGTTTCAAAGTGGGAGTTCACCATATAAATGCCATTACCACTGTCCTAATGATGATCTTTTGGGAATAGACTGATCATTTTTTTAATTGAAGCATCTCAAATCATTCTTGTTGCCTGTCCTACAGAGAGGCAGCGTATTTGCTGTCAGTGCTGTTCTTTGCACCCAGCTCAGATGAGCAACACAAAAAACAGATCAAAAGCACAGTTCTGATCACCCCAACAGCAGTACTTCATCTACTTCTCATACATGTTTTCCTCCTAAGAAGCTCCTTGGCTTTTCCAGAGCAAAGGGTCCACTAGGCTTACAGGCTTGCTCTGTTAAAAACACCACTGTCACATTGTGTGGCATAGTTTTAATTTATTCTTCCCTCATTTCTTGCCAGACATTGTTTTAGGAACTCAGTACAGGATTTAAAGCACATAAGCTCATGTATATAGTACTCAGCTATAATAGAGTTTTTGTACCATATGAGCTACTAAATCCTCCATGGGTCCATTTCCTTCACCTTAAATGAAAATTATCCCAGTTAGAATAGGTTTCCAAATTAAGACAATGTGAGACTAACAAGTTGGCCCCACTGTTGTGGGGTGAGCTTGTGTTGTAGCTAGGACTCTTGCACATTTGGGTATAACTGGGAAAATCAGTTTAAAAGGTGTATTTTTTTTTGTTGAAAATTTGAAAGCTTTCTATATTAATATTATGAGCTAAAGATTAGCTTAATTCCACTTTTGGAAACACCTAAAAAGTAACAGCAGAATTTATTTTCAGCATTTGTTTCAGTAAGCCATGAACCACAAAAATTGCCCGTTCACACATCTCTTAATCTGGCTGTGCTGGCACTGCGGGAAGCCCCTCTGCACAGAGCAGTCAATGAGGTGCTCTAAATCACATTAGGGTTTGGCAGCCTTCATCCTGCAGTATGAGATGTGCAAAAATAATGAAGATCTTTGTCCTAGACCAGTGTACCCCACTAGAGACCCATCTTGGAAGCCAGCCCACTGATCCTACTAGTTTACTTATTAAAAAATTCCCAAAAGAGACTGAGCTGGTTCAGCACCAAGCTCCACCCCGGGTCTAAAGCTACACAAGATATCTGTATGGGAGAAGGGCCAGGCAGCGACACTTGCCAGCTCCAGCCTTTGAGATTTAGTGAGCTGGGAAAGAAAAGAGTTTAGCGCTCTCGTGGAGGAGTCTTTTGACTAATGGGGCTTTGTAGTTTGGAGGATGTGCCGGATGACTCCGCTTCTTGACATGTGTCAAGGGAGAAAGCGGGTTGAGGTCCCATGGCCGAGTGAGGCTCTGGAGAGTTTGCCCAAAACGAGAGGGGAGGAATGGGAAAAAGGCAGGACTGTCACTGCCTCACCCGATATTTTGTCGGTTACTGTATCTAAGTGGAACTAGCACCCTGCTATCATGTTTTTACAGACGCTATTCAAACTAAATGCATGTATAAAAAAAGTAAAAGGTAATGGAAAAGTATATGATTATATGTAGAAATCAAGTGTTTAACAAGCATTTGTTTTCACAGGCTTCACATTACCCCAAACATTCGGAATTTTGATCAGATTTTTTTCTCATTTATTTATTAAACTGAAATTTGTGCACAATCCTTTTAGCCACCTCTGCTTTCTAGGAAATATTCTGCCCACTCTTTTCAGGAGTGGCTAAAAGATGGTAACCCCAAGATCAGGCAGGTTTTAGAGGAGATCTTTAAAGCACTCACATGAGTGCTTAGCTATGCAAATAAGCACCTGTGGAATTTAAGTAAAAACCGTTTTGAAAACTCCAGGAGAACCCACTTGTATCTTTAGAAATCAAACAACTTAAAGGCCAGAAGTCTCCTTTGAGGGCCGGTGCCTCTACTTACATTGGAAGAAGCTTGAAAAGTCACAAGCCTCTTCACTGGCCATTGCTTAGTCCAATTCACGCTTAATTGCTGATGCACCGAGATTGCTCAGGTCTCTGAGTAACTGCACAGTTTTCTTGGGATTTTTCCTTTGGCAACATCTAATGTGCTGGTCAACACAGACCAGCATGGTCTTTGCAGGAGTGAATACAGAATATTTCACGCCAACTCAGATCTCAAAGAAGAGAGACTACAGTGGGGGAGGCCTAAGTGCAGGCAGGAATTATGGGGAATCCCAATAGCCAGGCAGAGCAGTGAAGGCTGCCCAGAACAGTACAGGGACCAAAACACAAGGGTGGAAAAGTCGCAATTGCCTTAATTTTCAGGCACATAAAATAATAAGATTTCATACCGTTAGTGCAGTATTATACATTTTATATTTATTATATACGTTATGTTATGTTATGTTATGTTATGTTATGTTATGTTATTATATACGTTATGTTATGTTATGTTATGTTATAATAATGCAGCCACAGATATATTAGTTAGTAAGCACAGCCATGGTATAAAGTTTCTTAAGTTCCCAAGAGGCAGCTTGTAAATGTGCATGATAGGGTGAGGGGTTTTAAGGCTGACTGTAAAGTGGCAGAGAACAACTGGCAGGGAATGACATGAGAGGATGTTCAGTGATGCTGCCCATGGGAAAAAGCTTACAGCAGAAAGGATGCGTGCACAGAGGAAGGTAGATCAAAGGCAGTATGTGTGTAGTTATTAATAAAATCTAGAGGAAATAATGAAATCTAGGAAAGACGGGGAATTCTGAGGAAGCCTTAGAACCCATGAGCATTAAAGACATGAAGCATTTTAAACATACCACAGTTAATCACACAAAGGGTAGGGACTGCAAAAGAATGCAAACAATACTTAACCACATGAGGGTAGGTTCAATGAGCAGAGGGTGAAGTCCTGAGAATGGGTATGTTTATACTTAGAAACATGGAATCATGCCTAATTCTCAGGTCTATGCCCCTGCCTGTGCCCCAGCAGCATTTCAGGTGAGTCCCAGGTACTCAGAATCCCACCAGGCCTTTGGTTTCCAGTGAACTCTACTAGCAATGGAATAACTTTGCAGAAGTAGTACAAAGCACACAGCCCAGAGTACTTAAAAATAAAGTGCACAATCTCTCCTTGCATTTTGACACCAGTATTGTGACTATCAGGCTGAATTCCCATAAGCTAAATAGCAAAAAGTTATCTGTGGGAGACGGGTAACACTAAGCGGAAGAATGCAAGAGTCTACACTGCAGCATCACTAAACATAAGTGAGTTTTTGGCAGCATCCACAGCTACTTATATACGAATCTTTACAGCTACATTTTTTTACAGTTTATGTACCTGGCCTTGGAAAGTTTGAGTCTGTAGCTATTTAAAGAAAAGATCCCAGGTGATCAGTGCCATGAAGTCTTCAGTCATTGTTACATATTTTAGGCAAAAAGAAAATGTCTTAGAATTTTTAGCAATTCTATAAAATAATGCAAATTGCTTTTAGTTCACAGCTGCCAAGCTGAAAGCCAAGTGAGCTTTCTTCTTTCTGTACAGCCAAATAAGGCCAACAGCAATGATAAACCAGTAGTGGTTAAAGTTGTGTACGTTGGTTTTAGCTTGGCTAATCTTTTTAGTTTAAAAGACATCTGTGAGGACTCTTTTAAGCTATGGCTCATGATGTCCATCCTACATACAGCAGTTATTCTAAACATTTCAATGAATCACTTACTGTGGCTGCTTTCAAAATGGGAAAGACATTTCATGCATATGTTTCTAGCTTAGCTGGCCAGGTGAAAGAAAAAGTATTTTCAATATATGGTAGTTGTCAGAACTGGATCTTTTAATGAATTTTCATGAACAAAAAGGCATAGATTTACAAAAGAAACTCCCTTCCTTAAAAATCCTAATATTCCAAAGTTAAAAGAAGATCTGAAGGTTTACTAATGGAAAAATAAACTAAAGTACAGAAATAGAAGGAGGAAATGCATATTGTAAATTAGTCTTCATTACCATGACATGTTTTATCCTGGGAAGAATCAGATGGTCAATTTTTATTTCATCGTTGCAGCAATTTTAGATTTATTTTTGGTATTAATGCATTTTTAGACAGATTCTTGATTGATATACTTACATGTAATGAAATCTTGTTGCAACATAGATTAGAGCTATGCTAGCTCTTATGGTACAAGATACAGGATAGAATTTTTACTTTTTCTTAGGTGGTAAGTTTTTTTCTAGTCAGCAGTGGCACTCACAAGTAACTGTATGGCTGGTGATCAGTAGCAGTGCTTTTTAAAAACTGTAGTGTAAATATATATTCAGTCAGTCAATAGTCACATTTTCACAGGTAACCTAGAACCCATTCAGGTTGGAACTATGTGTATTTACAATACTTGATAAACTACAGCATCACTGCATGAACGTGCTATAAATAATGCGCATACCATCTTCTGCAAACAATAATTAGTATTTACACAGAATCAAATCCTACCTTTGATCGGGAAAACTGGAAGATGCCTGATACAACAAACACAAAATTGTGTCAAAAGCATCCTTGATGGCATTCAAGTAAATAAACCCAACTAACTAGCAACAGGTGAATGGAGAAATGGTCAAAACTGAAGGTCAAATAGGAGATCCCTGTCCAAGTCAACAGTCTGGGTGTTTTACAAGATAGGTAGGAATGACAAACCAATGGGATTTCATGGAGTAGTAAGTTGTGCACAGCAGAGCTTATAGCAATAAAATCACTGCCTGACCCATGACAGAAGAGCTGAAACCTCCACTCTGGTGCTGCCTGGGTGCTGGTGGGTCAAAACTCAAGGAGGAGGCCTTCAGCAAGCCAGGACACGGAAAAATCAGAAGGTTCAAAATAGGGCTGGCTGAGCTGGTATTTCACTATTGCCTAAACCAATTATGTAGAGACTGCAGAAAGGTCCAATCTGCATGGTGCTGCTGAGCCCTCTTAGCCAACACCCCCCTGCCTCTTGCACTGGTTCCAGGGGTGCCCACTGCCAGCTGGGAGGTACCAAACCTTCCCTGTACTAGCTACGGCGTAGGCAAACGGCACAAAGCTACAGCATGAACATGGAAGATCACCCTTTTCTGCAATGGCAACTGAATTAGGAAGTTGTGGTGAGCTACCAACGGCTGAAAATGAAAAACAATTCAGTAAATATCAAGGATGCTCTGTGTTCCTCAGTTTTTTCAGTTCCCCAGCTTCCTCTAGGTACCTTTTAAAATCCTTTGTTCTCTCTACACACACAGTTTTACAACCACATGCCCCAGTTGTTCTTTGAAAACTCCTAAATCTCTAAATTCAGCAAGTCAATTTAAAGAAATAAGTTTAGGCATTGGAGACTTCCTATGACACTAATGCCTACTTTTTATTTTATCAACAGTAGATCTACTGGAGTAGATTTAGGATTGGAGTTCAAGCTTACTGAAGGTGAGGAGAATATGTGTGTTCCATCACAATTTGAATTGATTTTGAATAAAGAAAGACATTGTAATATTGAAATATTCTAAAATAGATTAGTTTACTTACGTGCACAGGATAGACTGGTCTTCTCGATCTGTGAATAAAGAAATAAAATCCATTAATTGGGGAAAATGGCTCTCCTGACAGAAACGCTTATATTTAAAAGGATTTGCACTGAACAGCCTAGACCTTTCAAAATCTGGCAATCCATGATTAGTCAAAAGTACTGGATTCACATCTTATTTAATTTGCCCTTGCATTTAAATAACCATCTCTAATGGAAATATTTTGTACAAAAAAATGAACAAAAGGTTAAGAGTTCAAAAATATTTTTTGTAAGCTCCATTAGAGATGAACTGTAATGAGGACAGCAAAAAGATCAGGCTCTCTATAAGAAGATTATAACTGAAAATTTCAAACCTTAAACTCAAGTTTTTGCTACACTTATGAAGTATGGCTAGCAGCCCACTTGAGACACAGTCTGGACAGATAAGGCATCAAAACCTAAAATGTTTTAAGCTGGTCATGCAAATACCTGGATAACGTACTCTCATTTCAAACCGAGAGACAACTTTTATCAAAAGGACAAGTAATTTCTTTGAGACGTCCTCCACAGAATAAGATAAAACAAGATACTTCACATATTTTACAAGAGCATGTAAACAAGTACATAAGTATTCTTCATGCTTTATACTATGAACAGGACCATCAAACACATTTTGGATCAAGATTTATAAAAAGGAGGGCCAAAATCTCCATTTCTACTGTGTAAGGCATGTGAGAGGTTTCTGCGCAGCATAGTACAGGATGCTGTAACGCTGCAGGAAGGTTTAGGATTACATCCGAGCTCCATAACAAGCTCTTGCAGCATTCTCCCTGCTTATGCTTTTGGTGTTAAGAGTTACTCTTTACCTTCAGAGCTTTTACACAGAATTTTCTACCAAAAGGCTGATCTCAAGCTAAGATCTCTAGGCTGTGATGGACAACGAACACCTACTGAGGTTTCATAATATGCTCCACAATGCTAAACTATTTTGTAAAGCTCCATTGAAGCAAGACTTCCAGAAAAGTCTGTGTTAATGGGAGGCTTTACAATTTGCCCTCTATGTAAGGATGTATGACTAGTGTGTTTGCTGTGATCAGTTCTGAAGTAGAACAATTTTTTTCACTGTGGGAATTGTCAAACGTTGGGACAGGTTGCCCAGAGAGGTGTGGTATCTCCACTCGTGGAGCTATTTGGAAGTAGACTTGAACAAGGCTCTGAGCAACCTGCCCTGGCATTGAAGTTTGGCCTTCTTTGAGTGAGGCTGTCACAGACTGCCTTGTACAGACCGTAGAAAAATCTGACTTAGGAAAATAAATTCCCAGGCAGGTTAAATACATTTTTGAAAACTGTGCATAGTACAAGCCTGAAACTTGAGGCAGATAACTAAGGCAGAAGCAATTGTTTCTGTATGGTTTGGCATTATTAGTCAAATGCAGAGCTAGCATTAGCCCAGTGGAGCCTCTGGTCCTCCTTCCTTTTATTCAGGGTGTGGGACGACTTGCAGGGCTACCTATGCAATTGCTTGCCCCTAGTGCTGACCCTGTATGTAATAAATACCGTGAGATGAGATAAACAAGCTTTCTGCACTGTGTAAAGATAATGGAGATAAATTCGACCAATTAAGCTTGCAAGTTGTAATTGCTGCCTGGACCACATCCAGTCTAGGAAAAGCAGTAGAGGATTCTGCTATGGCTTGTATTGATATTAAACAACTGTTTTACTCCCAGTTCCTCAATAGCTAAAACGTTAACTACCTTATTAATCACTCACACGGCAAATGGTGCCACTTAACTGCTTTAATTGGTGCAAAACGACTCATTTAATTTCTATTGCAGATATTTGTCAGCAATCAGCACGGCAGGACTCTTCCACATAAACATTTGGGAGGAAAGGAGCTGTGAGCCATGTTTATTTTTCACCACAGGATACGAGCTAGGCTTTCTTTTAACTTAAAAAAGTGAGAACACGGTAGAATTTTTGCTAAAAATAGACTGTTGTGTAAATAGAAACCATGGGCATATATTGATATTGCATCACAAACCCATAAATACCATAAAGAAAATAAAAATGACTCCTTGATACGGAGTTGCCAGTGGAATTTCTGAGCTCAGGGAACATTAGAAAAAGTTGGTCTCCTCTAAGCCAAGTATTTTCTCACTACTCTTTGCTGCCCATTGCTGCCCTTCTTTTGCTCCCCAGCAAGTGAAAAACCCCTTCTGAAGGTATCTCATAAACTGGCCCACCACAGGGGTTTGCACGAGTGCATATGTATGGGCAGCTTTGCTGAACTATAAGAGCAGAAGGATTAGGAAGGTCAGAAGTTGCACCCAGTGCCCTCTGGGAGAGACAACAGGCTGTGCAAGTCAAACCTGAGTTACTGAGTTTCTTTGGAGTTAAGAGGAAGTGGAGGGAATGGTGGGTCTTTGGTCCTGGAAGGACTCAAACTGTAAGCAGGGACTGCTGGGTGGTTGCTGGCTCTCCAAGGATGCCTTCTGGTGAAGCAGCACTTTGTGCCTCTGACAGTAACTTGCTTGAGGGCTATTGGGGGTTCTTGGATGGAAAATCAAAATTATTTATTTGCTTTCAGCTTTCTCTTGTAGTCTGAAAGGCTTCCAGGATTGGACCTATGCAATTTGCCTGTTCTCCGTAGGTGGACAACCCCATGGCATTCTTGCAAGCTTCTCTCTTGGTCATTGGACTTATCCCCTTCTAACTTCCCTTGTGTTTGGCAGCCATATGAAGTCTTGAACCTTTCAGCCCTGCATTGCTGAACTGTGCAGCCTGTCCTGTGAAACCTCATGCTGACAAACTGTCCTGTGCACATTCATGGAGGGAGGATTCCAGATGTTACTCTATTTCCTTCAGCAGTTCTAACAAATAGCAAAGGTAAGGATGAAACATATCGTGAAATCTAGTTCTATTCTGTTATGATGTGAGCTGCAGATGAGAGTCTCATTTACTTTCAAGGGCTCTCCTGTTCAATTACTCCTATTTCTGTTCTAGAATATTTTATTCTATATAGAAAGGACTGTGTAGATCTATCAGAAGAGAATGACTTGCACAAAAACTCCTTAAACATAATTCCTGGGTCTAAAAAGTAGCAAAATATGTCCTGCAGATTCCAGTATCTTTTTGGTTAATGCCTTTTTAAAACTTGGCACTACCTGGAAGACTATCATATCCACCCCCTGTATGTCTGTAGTAAATGTTTTGGACATTTTTTTATTTTGTCCTCAAATTTTTATAGCATAGGGATCTACATTTACATTCTAAACCCCACCAGCTTTCCTAAACATGCAGTTAACTTTTTTTTTTCCTCTGTAATCTGCTTAGCTTTTTCATGAAACACCTCCAGATTGCTTGGAAGAATCATATTCCCCTCTGTTCTTGATAGACCAGCCAGCTCTGCTTAATCACAAACAAAATCAGATGGTTTATCGCAATGAAGCAGCAAGTTGGCAGCTTTACCATAAAAGGAGAAAACTAGACTGAAACCATGTTCCAACACTTGCTTACTGCTTCTTTACATTTGTTAATAAGTACACTGCCTAACGGGGACATTTCTGTATGGTCCTGCTAAGGACACAGTAAACAGATGGCTTTTCACAGCAGCCTCCTTTTCTAAGATCTTGGGAACTGTGTTTCCCTCCCATACCTCCCACTAACTAGCAGGTTGTTTGTTTTTCCATTTTTAATTCAAAGCCATAAAAATGGTTTTGCAGAAAATAGATACCCTTCTTGAATTTGCAGAAAGCCGTAATATATCTTCTCCATGATGATTTATTGCCAGAGAACTTAATAAAAGCCTAATCATCCACATGAAAACTTTTTATCTATTACTACTGCTACATATCCTGACTTTTCACATTGGTATTGTTTATCACTTATTTGTTGTATGCAGGGAAGATGGCAGAAGGCAGCAGGATTACTCATCCGTACTGGACCAGTGTCTCAGCTCCATCATCACTGGAAGCTGGCAGTGCTGTAGGAAGAAGTCATCCACCCACTTCCAGCTCCTCTTCCCTGGCCTGCACTGCCCTCTCCTTGCTGCCGTGTCCAGCATTCATGCAGCCGCGCTCTGCTCCAGGAGGGAGTGACCCACCTTGAAACTAATTCATCAAAAAGCGAAGGATGGCTTTCACCTGGAGCAGTTTTGCCTCATGACTGCGTGAAGACTGGTGCTGGCAGTGCAAGAGTTGGAATGGGGGTCAAGCCCTTCGTATGGCTGCTGTGCCACTGGGGAGATACATCATCCGAAACACAGGAGAGACAGGTGGGTGCAAAAGCATACAGTGATATTTTATGATGGCAGTCTCTAAGTGTGATAGTGGTCAGCTAGCTTGTCTGTAAAGGCAATCAGTGGGGCCCAGTTCAGTATGGTAGCTCCCAGGGACAGATACAAACACAAAATGCTCTTGTGGAATGTTCTATTTTCTTAGTTTTTTAGATTAAAGAAAACCAAAGTGGATAAAGTTTATTCTTGTTCTGGCTTGAAATGAGCATCAGTGACTGTGCCTGGGCAGCAATCATACTGCATCAGTGACATGGTAATCAGTAGATTCAACAAGACATGCAGTACCCTGGTTTGAGCATGAGACAGCATGACTGTGATTTGTAAAAGGGTTTTAGGTGCTCAGAACCACTTGAAACAAGTGGAAATTTTGTCTCTACCCAGCCAACATCTTTGTTAATGCCTGTGTCCTGTGAGATGTCAGCTTTTCTGCATATTTGCAAGAAAGTCCAATTATCCGATTTCTGTTAATTGTGGCTGTTATTACCAGAATTATTACTGTTACACGAAGTTATTACTTTGATGGGACATAAACATCATCCCTAATGAATACATCAACCAAGTAAGTCTCTAAAGCAGAGGAGGAGTGCAGCATGCACAACTCATGTTTTTTGCTGGATATTTGTGCCAGCAAAAAAGAGGATGAAAATGTGAAGGGCTGTGATTCCCAGATGATGAGCCTGCAATGGGACCAGAGATCTGCAGACACTGAGGCTTGATTTACCAAAAGATAAAGGTTCCCCGAGACATCTGAACAAACTGATTGCTCTTGGCCAAGTAGCCCTGGTCGTGAAGTACCAGAATGTAATTCTTCAGTCTCATGAATCTAAGATATATTTTACTTTGGCAAGAATAAACTATGCAAGTTTCCCAGATAAGGAGCAATACTGAAATTTCACAAGGAAAACATTCAGTGCCTTGATCCATGTTTATGAGTAAGATTTTTTGTTTATATTCCATTTGCAAATATGCTTACAAAAAACTATGAAGCTCTCTATGTGTTGCGTGCGCACACACACAATCATGTTGACACCTACTTTCACCACTCCAATGTGAATATAATTTGGCTGAATAACTGGAGTTATTTTGAGGTTTGGTTTAGTTTTATGCACAAAATATGAGTACATTTTTACAAACAAAAGCACAGCTTTAAAACCAGCTGGGGCCCTCTTCAGAGATGGAGAGACTCCAAAATGGCATGTGCAAGTAAATAAGCAAGTAAAGCGTGGGTGTCCTGGGCTTGTGATGCAAGCTCTTGTGGAACCACTCCCCGGCTGCCGTGCCAGCTGTGCGTGGTTAGGATGGGAGGTGGTGGAAGAGCATTCTCTTAAAGGTTCAACTGATGATCTATTCCCTCCTCTTTTCTTTCTACTGCTCTCCCCCTCCTCTCTGCTGTCAAGAAGAATTCCTTGCAAAGGGGGCGTGTGAGTAACGAGGTGTAAAGCTTCCCCAAGTGTTGGCGGGGCCCGGGAAATTATTATGAGCACCAAAAAAGTGAATAGAAAGATGCACACCCTTTTGCTGCTTCCTCCTCCCAGCACCCAGCCTGGGAGTCACAGCTGAACCCAGGCGGTTCTAGGTGCAGTTAATGACCACAGCAAAGGGCAAGCCAGGTCCAGTGGCTTCACTGCTGCTTGGGAGAGCAAGTTAGGAAGGACAGGAGACAGTCAGAGAGAGGAAGAGTGAAAGAGGTCCTTATGCTGCTGGGATCAGGCTGGTTGATGCTGATAGTAGTTTCATGTTAAGTAAAAAGCTCATGTACTGTCAGGCCAAAACAATTCTCCTGTTTTAGCATAGGGTGTAGTATTATGTTTTTTTCTCTTTCCTGCAAATAGCTTGTGGTTGTTTTTCCCTATCCCATTTTTAGGGACAAGTAACAGTATTCTGCACAGCTGAATGAGAACACTGCTAATGACCTGCAGGAGCCAGAAGTTTCTTGCAGAGCTCCCCTGCAAGGCTTGCTGTATTTAAGGATCTGAGGAAAGATGACTGCTCTGATTCTGGGCTTGTTCAGAGCCCTGAACGGTGCTGGATACAGAGCACAGAGTTCAAGAGATGGTCTGGAAGACAGATACATGTCTGTGGCTTAGTGAGATGACCTTATGCCAAGTAAGTTTCTTGTAACTGTGGGTACATCAAAAATAATATTAACTGAATCATGTTATTTTAAAAGCACCTGCCCCCTAAGTCCTGAGCATATTTTATATGCCTGTCTTAATGAATAACTCTGCTGCTACATTACGGAGGAAGGTCTGTTTTCAGAATGTATTTTGTTGTTACTTTCTTGATCCTCTTTCTTTGCTGCGCTGTAGCTCTGCCTTCTGGGAGGCACCCAAACAAATGAACTGAAATAGCTCCAGAAAAGAAATGTCACATAAGCCGTAGGAAGAAAAAAGGTTGATGCTGTAAACAGATACCCAGTTCTTTGGGATTAGAGTTGAATTAACTATATTTCAAACACTCGTATATCTGAAAATATAAGATTCTAAAGTCAGGAACCTAAGTTATAATTAGGTAAGCAACTTAAATAAGTAAATAAGCTTCAAGAATTCAATCTTCAGAAGATCTAAGAATTTTGTTGGTGGGATTATTTTGTTAGAATTAAAGTTAGTACTTATGAGTACTCAGGAATTTTTTTGGGGAAAAAAATCGTTTTGATGCCTTTGATATCAATCATCATTAGGGGGTGTGGGTGTGTGTATATAGATTCCTTGTACCAAAATGACAGGACTTTGATTGGTATTTTCAGTCAGTAGAAGTCTGCCTGGAGTCAGGCAATTTAGGTTGCCCAGAAGCCTATTACGTATAGAATAATCTTTTTTTTCAACGTGGGGAAGGACTTTGTTTAGTCTAGATACTAGCAGTTAACTATGATATGCCAAACTGACTACTTGTAACTTCTACTAAATTCATCAGTTTATATTTCAAGCAGGACAAGTACAGGAGTACTGCAGTCCTTGTGATTACAATGTGCTGTGACCCTGGAGAAACGCTGTGTAATTTCACTTGCATAGTCAGGTAAAGTGCACAGTGGTTTTGAATGGATTAGTTGCTCAGAAACAGTCACGGCTCTGTGTATGTATGTAAAGATTGTGAAGAATTCAATACCAGGTACTAATCTATCTAGCTGCTAAACTGAAATTTTGAGATGCTGTTTATTGTTTTCACCAGTCAGATCTAAACCCCGTAAGCCTTAAATCTTTAAGCTTCAAACTGGGAAGTCCTAACCTTTAGGGCCAAGCCTGTGAACCTTTCCTAGGCATAGTTACCGGCCAGAATTTCTGCAGGATCAGGCCCCTAATGAGACCATTTAAATTTCAAAGCATTTTGTGGAGTCCTGGTTTCCTGGAGCAGCTGAGGTTGCTGCGAGATGGCAACCGGTCATGTCCCTGTAGTCTGTAGGTGTTGCAGCCTCATATATTCATCACTACAGCTTTTAAATCCCTAAATGATGATTTTTCCTTAGAGCAAAACCCCCTCAGTCTGTCAGTAGTGACTGCAGAAGGAGGAGAACACTGTGTATTTCAACTGTTTTGTTTGCACCATTTGGGGCCTGACTGCTTTCCGATTGGGGCTCATTACCGGTATTGTTAGAAAGCAGAGCACATCTCAACTCAGGGCTCCAAAGCATTAGACTGTAATGAAAGTAGCCCCAAAACATTTTTTGAGTTTGCTTTGCTAGGGGTGAGAGAGAGAGGAACAACGCTGACAGATCCAGCAGCGCTAGCAGCTAACTTTGGAATAGTCTCCACTGGTGGAGAAGGGAGCATTTTCCATGCCCGTATTTGCCAAAACTATTTGCTTGACTTTGAAACCTTCCCACATGCCTCGACACAGATGGGTAAAAGGATTGTTTTTCCTTTTTGAGTCACAGTGTTTGTGGACTGCTGTTCCTGCCAAAGAATTCTTCTGAATCTTCTAGAAAGCTTGCGTCGCCCTCCGTAACAGATCTTTTCTGGCTGTGCTTCTTACAGGAGCACATGTGGAGTTATAAGGTGTTTTCTCCCACGTTACTGTGCAGCAGTTTCTAAGAACTGCAGCATTAAACTTGCCTACCTTGCAGCATGCTCCTGTAGGCTGTGTCCGCAATAGCGTAGATGTGGGGTGGCATTTCATGCCTCTTCTTTCCCTTGTACATGTCAATAATTTTCTCGGAATAAATGGGCAGCTGTTTGTATGGATTTATCACCACGCAGAAGAGACCTGAATAAGTCTGCAAGGAAATTAAAATAAAACCAAGAATTAATATCATGCGCCATGCATACCCTGGGAAACACAGACATCAGCTGCATAGAACTAACAGGATTTTAGCAAATAATGTTCTTTTGTATTCTGCATAGTGTGACAAATGAAGCAGCAATTTCTGAATGTACGTGTATGGGTGCAGTTTCCAAGTGCACGAATAATTATTTCTAATAAGCGAAATGCTAGAAAGTGTGTGAATTTAGCAATCTGTAGAAACACCATGCTTTGATCTGATGTTACGGCTTCTTGACTTCAGTTATTTTCCGTATATAGTGAATCGCCCTTATCTGTGATGATATAACAACTGTAGGACTTCATAATATTTCTTTATATGTGTATTTTCATACCAGAGTATGTCTTCTGCTTAGGTAGGTGTCAAATTTTGTAAACTGAAATCCTAGGTAAGATGCTTGGCATGATGTTAGAAGAAGGCTTTTTAAAAAAGATTCTATGAACACCATATAACAATAATGATTGATGAGAGTCCTTGACAAAAAAACTCAAGTTCCAAAGAGATGTCATAACAGAATAGTCACACCTCCCCTATGTGACTATTTCTGTAAGAAATTTAAGGAAAAGAGTGGTTTCTGTGTACAGTTTAATTAAGGTATTCATATAAAAATTATATACATAAACAAACAAGAACAGTGGCTACTAGCTGATAGCTGTTCATCCAGGTTTTGTTAGTTTTTTTTTTAAATTCTCCTTTATTTTGGCAAGCTCCAGCTATTGATCTGGGAGCAGAAATAACAGCATATAAGAATAGGTGGTGATCTGTATATCACAAACGGTTACTAAAAGTAAGTGATTTATAAGGGTTTCCCATTTAAAAAAAAATTAAACCCAAAAATAAAAGATTGCAAACTTATCAGTTTAAATATCCCAATAATCCTGCAATAATAAACTGGCCTATGGCTGTTAGTTTTAAAAACTGAAATAATGAAATGATGTCCTTTCTGGTTTAGACATAAGTGGTTTCGGACTATTTTTGTGGGTTTTTTTTCTTTATTGCCCTGCTGTGTGAATGAGTGCTTTGTGGTGTGCAGCTGCTGCTGTGCTTTAATCTCAGGGCTGTGTCCGAGGATGGCTCAAGCTGCCTCGGTTCCCCCATAGGAAGCACTGCAGTGCAGGACTGTAAAATGGCATCTGGGAGGCTTGGCTCTGGGCACAGGGATTTCCCTTTCCTGACCATAATAGGAAATGCCACAATACGGTCTCAGCACAGCCCGAGAGCTTTATATGGTATTGAGCAAACACGGCAAGAGCATCTTGCAGCCTCTAGCAGTGAGGAGCAGGTTGGGTGCTCCACACTGGGCAGGAGAACTTCTGGGGTGATCTGGGTAGTGGTGAGGACCTCTCCTACCATTACAGGTTGTGACTGCATTTCTATAGTCTCAAGTCAGATAATAAGAAAATCAAGCTCAAGATCTTTGCCAGCTCTCAATACCCCCAAGCTAAAGCCCTTAATGTGGAAGGTAGATAATTACTGTGCTGGATTTTCATTGATGCTGGAGTTCAGAATGAAGCTGTGCTAATTGTGTCAAAGTGAACTTTAGTGCTGCAGGGACAATACACTTGAAAAGTGGCAGTTTTTTAATCCTAGGATGACTACTGGGGCCCTTAAGGAAAAGATAGCAAGGCCTTTATTTTCAGTAGAAATAATTTACTGTATGCATTCAACTAATCACTCCCAACCAAGTAAATAAAATAATAAGTAAATTTCTAATTCAGAAAACTATTTGGCCTCCTTTCCCTGAGATTTATAGGCATTTGCCTGATGTGCCACCTGCAGGCTCTTTGCACACCCAGGCATACAGTAACATACCTTTGGAGAACTAACTTAAGGTTGCTAAGGCAGGGCAAAAGCCTGAGCTGGAGAAGTTCAGGAATCCCCATTTCTAACTGGACTGTGGCTGATACCATCTCTTGCCTTGGCAAAGTTGACCAAGACCTCTTGGTTTCACCAATTGTGGTTCTAGGTATCTGCTTTGCAATGATTTGGGGAAAGATGGTTAAAGTATGTGATGTTTTGAAGATAAGCGAGCCAGCTGGCTAAGCATGTGATTGAAAGTGGTGTGTTTGAAGTTTCCATGCTTTAAACCATTCTCTCTGGGGCTTGGTCTGCCCGGAGAGGAGGGCCCACAGCTGTATCTCTCCCTCGAGTGTCTGGAGACAGAACACAGTTTAAGGTATCTTAGGGACAGTGTCCATAGGAGAGCTGAGCTTGTGTATCCCTTGGACAGTCACTGCTGATGGGTATTTAGGAGGGACTGGCTTTGTTGTAAATGCCTAAGTTTGGGCAGAGGAATCCCACCTCTGGTTTCAATATGCGTGTATAGCTCTCTCTATTTAAGAAAGCATTTCACACTGTTAAGTGAAGACTGAAGTAGTAGTGCCTATGACTACAGACATAAGAAACTTGATTCTACTCTCAAAACCACTGAAGTTGCATAGCAATTTTATTGATGGTTATACAATCATTTTTGGTCTAATTTGTGTGCGGACAAGGCAGGTTCTGAGCAATATGAAACATGAGTTTGTGGCAATGCATTTCTTGCCCTTCTTTCTTAATTATCTGTGATGAAGAAAAAGGCCAATGTGTTTTTCCAGTGTATGGTCACTCTGAATTTCTGCACTGAATCTTTCTATTTAATAATATTTAATATAAAAGCAAGGGGCAGATGACTTTTTTTTTTTCCCAGCTAAGTTGACTTTTTTCTTAGCAGAATTGGGAATCCCCATTTGTGGCTGGGATGCTCTGAAGAGGAAAATGTTAAGGTTGCGTTTTCTTAGTATGTGTGGGACTCCAAGGGGTGCAATGTAGGCATTGCATGGCAAAACGAGGAGGTGGTTGTTTACAGTTAGTTTTGCAAGTGAATAAGAATAAAACCGCAAATTCTGTTTAGATGTCCCCTACTTACCTTTTTTTTTTTTTTAAAGGTATGAGAGTACCTAGTAGGGCAGCACTGTGTAAGGCTGGGCAGTTTTAAGCAGGTTTTTGTTATTGAAAATACTAATAATTTGTTGTAGTACAAGTCAAAGTAATTTCCTTATGACTGTTAATTTACCAGTCTTAAAATTGTCTCCTGAGAAAGAGAACTTAATTTCAGATACACTTCCATTTTTGTCTCTGTGAAAAATTCTTTTATTTCTAATTGCATTATCTAGTTTTGAAATTAATTTCCTCTTCCTGTAGAAAGTGTAAGCTCCGCAAAGTAAACATATTGAGAATCGTGGAACATCTATGCAGAGTGTTGCTGAGAACAACAACAAAGAAATAAACCCCACACATTTTATCCCACTGTTGTTCTACTAATTAGTCTTAGATCTTGCAACAATGCAGAACTTTTTCAGACAAATTCCATTTTAGTAATTAATGCTGCACATTCTGATATAAAGGCACATAGGTCCGTATGTTCACCTGCAAACTTAAAACCCAATGAACTTAAATACTGAAAAGACAGAAAGTCTAGCTTCTTTCAGGAATCCTGATGATGTGAATTTTAGTACATTCCTGAAGAAAAGGTGTTGAACTTGGCTCATTTGAGTTATGCATAACAATTAAATAGTTCCTTTATTGTACTATATATAACTGTCTTATTTTCTGCTTCATTTCCTACTTTCTGATTTAGCATTCCTCATACTAGTAATGAGACCTCTACTCCTGCTTCTAAGACCTTGTTACTTAAGCTCTGCACTTTCTTTCACTCATCAGTGGTCTGTTGTGCAAGTAAAATTGTCATAGATTGAAACCGTAGATTACTTTTCTGCAGCACAGTGTAGGGATCCTTCAAGTAAAAATCAAAGATAACAGCTAAATTCCATGGAAATTTTCTAGGCTTTCTTACTGTGCAGTTTGCTAACTGTTGATGCACAAGATTACAAGATAACATGGTTATTAGTGTCAAAATACGCTTGTGTTAATATACTTGTGTAGACTGGAAGACAGAATAATCTTGGTCCTAATTCTTGTGACCATAGAGGAGATTATAATTTGCCCAGGCTTGTCTGACATGTAAATTGACAAACAAGGAGGGGGTGTGTGTGTGTTAGTGGATGCATGACTCTGGTTCAGTAACACACTGGAGCATATGAATATTCTTACTTGAATTCCAGTGGGTTTATTCATTTATTCAAACATAAGGTTTTACTCAGGCACCCACCAAACCAGAAATTGTCAGCTGCCTTTCAGTGGGAGTTTTGCCTGAGAAAAGACTGCATGACTTGGTTTTTCCATATGTTCTTTTTGCAAGTTACTGGAAACTTATTCAGGTTTACATTGAAGTCATTCAAAAGTCCCTATTGATTTATTTCAAACCAGTAGGAATGAGGTGTTGCTCAGCTATTGGAGAGTACTTTCCAGTGCAATAATATCCTTTCAGAATTAGCAAGCTCTGGGGAAGAAACCTTCATGTGTCTTAATTTAGTTAAGAAGCAATTATTAAAGAAGCAGGAGAGTTATGGGGAATAAAGTAAAGTAAACTAAACACATTTTTGATTTGTGATGCCATTACTGAGTAGTGAGTATTTGCATGGCAGTGCATTTGCATGCAGATACATGCAAGGACTGTATTGCTGACAGTGGGTGGGATCCACCTCATTTGTGATGGGACATGGTAGCATGCCATAGGAAATGCCACGTGCGTGTTTGATTCTACTTACATAAATTAAACCTGAGAAGTATCTCTCCCTTAGATTGTGCAGCACTGAAGCTTCATTGAGGCACGTCAGCTCTGCCATGTCCTCCACTTTGGAGAACTTCGGAGGGTTCATCTTCTGGATGTCATCCTTGCTCAGTGTCACTTTCTTTCCATTTTCTGCCAGTTCAACTGTCACCTCATCCCCTTTCTCTTCCTTGATACTTGCTGCTTCAAATCCATGTTTCTCTGATGGAATCCAAACCAGTTTCTTTGCTGACCAGTCAGCCTGGGCAAGTGGGTTGTTAATGAAGTTTTTGTCCACAAAGAGGAATTTCTCATCATCGCTGAGAGATTTTTGAGCCATTTTGACTCAGGAGACACCTGTTGAGGAAGCAAAATATTCTGCTTTAAAGGGAGGCAAATGTGGAGATGTTCCAGGCAAAACACATTTGTCAAATCCATCATGCAGTAGATCCAAAGCACTATAGGTCCTGTGTCATATCTCACATTTCCACGCAGATAGTTTTGGGTGCCAGCTTAGATACCTTACAGCATCTGCGTTTGGATGCCCATTGCTTTGTTACTGTGCCTGAAATCACCTAAATCAAAAGCTTCATGGCACTAAAAGAAATAAGGAAACCTGGGCTTATTACTTTGTTTTGTTTATGTTGTACTGGAGATCAGAGAGGAAAGTAAGGCATAACTAAAATCTATGCAATGAGCCTGTCGGGACTCCACCAAGACTCCCAGATGAACCGCTTCTTGCAGCCTCATCACTTGCCCATTACAAAGGTAATTGAATGCAGATACATAAAAAAATTTCTCATCACCCAAATGCTGTGTGGTATATACTGAAATACCAGTGCAATAATGAAATAATTAGTAGAAGAACAGTTCCCAGGCTGTGTTCCAGAAAGGACAGAAACAAAGTTTTCTTGCAAAGGACTATTTCAAATCACTCTAATACTATTTCATTTGGAGAAGAATAAGATTGAGAAAGGGTCAAAAAAAAAAAAAAACAACCCACCAAAACCCACAACAATTTTTTTCCTGTTTTTTTTATCATTACTGCTGGTGAAGTAACTCAGAGTTATCCCCTTTCCATGGTTCAGACAGTGGGATCTGATCATTTATGAAGGGTAAATATCTGCCACATGAGAGAGAGAAGAAACAAAACAAGCCTGGAAATTGCATCAGCTATTAGATGCTCTGAACCATGATGCTCAAACTGGGAGGACGATGCAGCTGTGTTATGCTGTTGCACATGGATAAAACAGCATCCTGCATTTGCACTTGGATAAAGCAGCTGGATGTATCTGCTCCGTAGGTGAGAGCAGTGGGAGGGTTTTGGCTGCTTTGCCCCTTGTTTGAGAGGGAGGAGGCAGCTTCTTTCCTGCTCTGGCCATTGGAGGTTAGGATGTAGCTGCAAGAGCTTTGCTGATAATGCTGGAGCTTTCCTAAGTGTTCTGCTCTGTCCTATGGGACACACAGCTCTAAATGAAGAAAGCAGTACGCAGAGGACTTCTTGTGGTTTGCCACAGGGCAGGAAAAGAGTGGTGCTAATCAGGGAACCTGCCGTGCAGTAGAGCAGAGAAGGGAGCTGGGGAGGAGCTACAGTGGGGAGCAGGGAAGAGTGTGTGCCCAAGAAAAACATCTCCAAGAGACAGAGCCTGTTTCATTTCCTTATTGAGACTGAATTTAATATTTACAGCATGCAAACAAACATGAATCGTGAGGGAGTTTGGAGAGCTGACTGCTAAAGGGGTCAGCAATCAACCCATAAGCAGAATGATATTTGTGAAGACCAGGCTCTGTGGTATGTAGCCAAATGGACACCCTGTGCTCTGGGAGTATCAGAGGTTGGTTTCCAAATATTTGTCCCTGAAGCCTTCCCACAGATTAATGTTTTTTTGCAAGGCCAAACTCTGCAAGGGGCTTGAGAGAGAAGCATGGATCATGCAGAAGGTGACATAAAGCTTAAAAACAAAACTAGGATTTTGGAGGCGCCTAAGAGGGTTAGATGATATCCCACTGAAATTCAGTGGAAATTAGATGCCCCAGCTTCTTAAACAGCCTTGACAATTCTCTCATCTAAAAAAAAAAAAAAAAAGGCAAACCAAAAAAAATATATCTTTCCTCTAAATGTGCTCATTCTAGAGCCACCAACCAGCCTTGCCTGGAAAACCTCAACGGGAGAATTCACCCAGGTCATCCACATGCATGCCATGTGGATGGTAGTGTGGGTGAACAGGAGGGAGACCCCAAGAGCTTGGCCCTGTGCATCACTGCTGGCCTGTGCGCGGTGTTCCCTGCCGTCGAGTCTCCGTGAGGGAGCTCTGTAGGATGTGGCCCTTTGCTCGCTCCCAGGGGATTCTTGGAAGAGAGCTGCAAGAGGAAACTATTTGACCTCTGTGTGGATTAAGGCAGAAAATGTTCCCGCGTTGCCAAGAGGGCTGGTAGAGCTGCACAGTTCCAATAATGGAGATGGTATTCTCTCCAGCTGAGCTTTCCAGCTGGCGGCTGCAGGGCGAAGCCAGGGGAACAGGGGAACGAAGGGAGCGCTGCCCCATTGCCAGGGCTGTGGCTGCAAGAGCAGGGGGCTCAGGGAGCAGCAGGAGCCTGCTGTTGCCTTTCTCCTCCTGCTGCGGTAGCGATGGGCAAGGCATGTTCTCTGCCCCACTGTCCCAGCAGCATGGGAGGAACGGCTGCAGCAATGGGGTGGGAAGATTTCAGTCCATCTTAGGCCCAGAACAGAGCGCTGTATGGTCATCCTGAAGCATCAGAAAGGTTGGATCATGCTGCCTGTGGCTAAGTGACAGCACATTCAAATTAATAGGGATTTGGTATTGCTGTCAGAAACACTGAAAATCAGACTGAACTGCAGAGCTGAGTTTCACAGAGTCAAGTCCTGCTACTTTGAGGCTGCCCACAAACAATGATGGTGGAAATCAAACTGGTGAATCATCCTGACCATCTACCTCAAAAGCCCAACTGAAGAGAAAACTATTGGCCTGCTACAAAGCATGTCACCACTGGGACAACCCAAAAGTTCTTTGGGTTTTTTTTTGCCCAAGGGCCGAGGGGAAAGTTCCTTTCCTTGTTACATGCTGAGTCAAAAACATCTTCCACAGAAGACAGCATGAAACAGAGAGCTGGTCTGTCTGTATTCTACTACATTCTCCCACTTCTTCCTGCACGTAAAATTTTCTGTACCTTGTTATTTAAATTCAGTCTTTTTGAAAGTGAGATGAAGTTGGAAGGCATAAGAAGTGGCATGAACTTGGATGTGGTATGAGCTTGGAAATACAAGTTGTTATCCTCTAGATCTAAGCACTATGTTTGACTAGTTTGAACGTGGTAAGAATAGACCACCTACAAGAAATAGGGAATAGACAGTCTCAGCTGGATCTCGTTATTCCTCTGAAACACAATGAGGAGAAAACATGGATTTGTATAAAAAGAACTTTTCATGACTGATCCTCTGGAATCTGAGGGTAAAGTCTGTGTAGCAGCTGAGTACCACTGTAGTAAAAAAGGAAATGCAGTTATGAAGTGTGGATTAAGGAATAGTAATAGTTTAATGGATTAATAAATATTACTTAATGTGTATTAATATTAAAAGAAGGTTTCTGAATGGAAGGGGTAGAAGATGAGCTCCACAAACTCAACTAGATTTTTCCCAGTGAGGTGCTGTGCACTGAACTAATGAGCTGCTGAAGCTTTCTGATTAATAATTGGCAGTAAATCTTCTGATCTGTCTGTGATCAGGACTGACCTGCACTGGTCCAGCATATGATTGATACTGGGGAAAAGGGCCAAGGGGAAAGATTCATTACTGCCTATTGAGAACATTCCCTGAGAAGGCAAAATTTACCCCTTAGCCAGTTCCTGGGTTTCATCCATAGGGCTGCCTGAGAGAAACGGAGACCGATATCTTATCTGTGCAAGAGGTGGTAAGAGGTTCTCATCCATTCTTTTAGGTAGCTGATAGCCCAAATCCTGTACGAGAATGTACTTTTATACTCAGAGGTGAGCTATCCTGAGGAAGGGAGGAGGAAGGGCAACTGCAAAAATACTACTGATATGCAGTTTCTTGCCTTAGAAATGTGCCAAATTACACCAAACTGGATCCATCTGTTATACTTGTCTAAAGCCCCAATGTGCATGTTGCACATGAGCATGTATAGTTCCACAGGTGACTTTCTATTCCTCCTTCTGCTGTCCCACTACAGATATCCCAGCTGATCTTCACTGTCTTTTTCCTTGTCATGTCAGTAACAGAAGTTGAACGCAATCAGTTTATCCTGAGTATATTATTCCAAGGACAAAGTATAAATATCTCCAGGAAGTGCACTTTAATTAAAAGGTTATTGGCCAAGCAGAACTGCCTCCTGGGTCAGAGCACAGAGGGACTGCTCTTCTCCTAATGAGAAGATAAAGGACACTTCTCCCTTCCTCTGCAGGATGTGCATGTCAGTATAAAAGCTTATCACAGCCGCACAGGGAATAATTATTAGAACAGAGGAACATATAACCAAGTATGTGAATTATTTTCAGAAACCAAGTCCTGCTCTCATAAGTGGTTTCTGACGGAAGAGTGTAGCAGTAACCTGCTGCTTGACTCAAACTGTATTTCTTAGGCTATGGTACTCTTGACTATGTCCTTTCCAAGTTGCTTATCTTTTACTTTTCTAGTACTTAACTGAAATACCCAACTGAGCATTGCTTGAAAAAAAGAAAATCTAGGGGTGAATCCTAATCTTGTGATCTTTGTTCGGGAACTGGTTGCCCAGCACAGTTAGCTTTGGCATGAGCACTGCTACCAATCCCTCCTGGCCTTTCACTTCTCCCCGCTGGTCGCCGGGACCACCCGTCAAATGCTTACTCTCATCGTGGACACTTTCATCTGAACATGGAGGTGTCATTGGTACTGGTTTATGGTTGTTCAACCATGGATGAGGGAAAGTCTGCATTTTAAGGAAGAACGCTTTCAGTAACTTCCCAGGGCTGTTATGTGTTGGCTTGGCTTTTGTTTTGGGGTTGCTTTGGTGTTTTTTGTTGTTTTTCTTTAATGCATTCTCCATGTCCTTTAATCAAATTGTCTGTAAGTTCTTTGGTCTCCTATCAGGTCTTCTCACCTCTGTTAATGCAAGTTACTTCATAACTCTGATTGAACACTTGATAGCTCTTTTAATGCTCCAAAGAAATTGGCCCAGGTTATTACCTGTGTTATAATCTATAAAAATTAGAAAAGAAGGAAAAAAGACTTCAATTGCATCATGTGGGGGTGGATTCCCCGTATCTGGAAAATACCAGGTATTTCAAATACCCCCTAATGTCATTGTATTAAGTAAATCAGATTCT